ATGTCGCCGCAGGCCTCAGAAGCGGGAAGTGACGGTGACGCGAAGGCTTCGGGTCGGTCGCGGATTCCGTTCCTGGACATCCACGTATTCGGCTTGCAGCAGGTTCTCGACCTTCGCCTGCACGTCCATGTCCATGACCTCCAGCGCGAACCGCAGGTCCAGCAGGGTGATGGGCCCGCGATCGTCCAGGCGATAGACCAGAACGCTTTCCGCTTCGCTCCGGTGGCGCACGTCCAGCGCCACCAGATCGGCCCAGCCGGAGAGGGTCGTCGTGATGTTGTGGCGCGACCGATAGGCAAGCGGCCGCCCGGTGCCCAGGTCCTCGGAATCGAGGAACAGGTAGTTCGCGTGCAGGTTGAATCTCTGCGGAACCAGGCCGACGTGCACGCCCGCGTCGAGTCCCCGGACGCGCGCCTCGGCCACGTTCCGGAACTGGAAGGTCAAGGGCTGGTTCGGTGCGCCCGCCACCTCGATGAGACCGGAGTACTCGCTCCAGAAGAGTCCGGCGTCGAACCAGAGCCGTGGGCTCGGGGTAGCGGTGGCGCCGATTTCCCCGGCCCACGCCGATTCCCCGCGCAGCTCCAGGTTCGGGACCACGCGAAATCCGAAGACCCTGGTCGACGTGAACTGCTCGGAGACGCTCGGCGCGCGGTAGCCGCGGCTCAGTGATGTCCGCAGGCTCAGGCGCTCGCTGGCCTCGAAGACCAGGCCGATCTTCGGGTTGAGCGCCACATCCCTTTCGACCACCGACGCGCTGTGCACGTCGAGTCGGACCCCGGCCGAACCGCGCCAACGCTCCGAGAAATCGATCTCGTCCAGGGCGAACAGCGCCAGGTCCGCCACATCCGGACTCGAGCTCAGGAAGTTGGAAGCCACGTTGGTCCGGGCCGCTTCGGTTCCAACGGTCACGGCGTGCCGCCGGCTGGAGAAGAACGAGAGTTGAACGTCGGTGCCGTAGCGCGTCGAGCGGTGGAAGTCCTGGTTGTCGTGGAAGTAGTTCCGCAAGCGGACGTGCTGGATCTGGGGCCTCAGCTGGAGCTTGAGCGTGGAGGTGACTACGGGTGAGGCCGTCATTCCGAAGACGAGGTCGGAACCTCGCTTCCAGTCCCCGAGAACCGCCGGATCCACTTCGAGGGGGCGCTCCGGGGAAAGCCAGGTGAAGAACTCCTCCAGATCCTCGCGCTTCCAGCTGGCGAACACCGCGAGCGGCTTGGACGACTCGGCCGCGAAGACAGTCTTGGCCCGGAGTTGCCACCGCTCCTGGCCTCCGTTCTGCCGGAAGCCGTCGGAACCTTCGCGTCCCGCGAACAAGGTGACGCCTGCGCCGCCGATCTGCCGGGAATGCTGGATCTGGAGGCCGCGCATGCTGAGCCGCTCGTCGGTGAAATCCACATTGACCGGGGTATCGAAGAGGCCGTAGTAGCCTCGCACGGCGGTTCGCGGGGGCCCCAGGGGCGGCCGCGTGATCACGTTGACGACGCCGGCCATGGCGTTGGTGCCCCACAGCGTGGAGTTGGGGCCCTTGACGATTTCGACCCGGTCGATGTCGAGGAGCGGCAGTATGCTGAAGTCGATCGCCGATCCCACGCCAGTGAGCGCCCGGTGGCCGTCCAGCAGCATGAGCACACGGCTGCCCACTCCGCGCGCGATGCCGCTGGCACCACGGATGTCCATCTGACCCGCGTTGAACGTCACGCCCTGGGCGAAAGGCAGCGCTTCCCTGAGGTTGGTGACGTCGCGGCGCTGGATCTCTTCTCCGCTCATGACCGAGACGCTCACGGGGGCCTCGCCGGGACGCAGCGTGGTTCGGCTTGCGGTCACGGTCACGCCAGGCACATCGAAGAGAAGCGGCTCCAGAGAGATGCGGAGCGGCTCGACGCCGGTGCTGGCGGCGTCGACCGCGAGTTCGGAGCTCGCGTAGCCTTCGGCCACCACCGTCAGCGTGTACGTCCCGGCACCCGGGACGGAGATCTCGAAGCTTCCGTCCTCTCCAGTCAGAGCGCGCAGCGGCGTCGATTGAACGAGCACCTCCGCGCCCATGACGGGCACCCCTTCCTGGTCGTCCACCACGATGCCGCGAATGGACGGCCCCTGCTGCGCGGTCAGGGGGAGGGTGAAGAGCGCAAGCGGTGCGAGGAGGGCAAAGCTATTCAACGTCAATTCTTCTGCCAGACCGTGGTGGACACGCTGAGCGCTGGCTCGCTCACGTCCACCGTGAGGATGTTGCCCTGAAGCGTGTAGGTGCCCTTGCCCTGCAGGAGCTGACCGCCTTGCTCCCACGTCCCGTCGAGACGGTTGGCGTAGGGGCCTTGGTCGTCAATTGTGACGGTTCCGCCCTGACCGTCCGGGATGGTGACACTGATCGTCGTCGTGCCCGAGGCCTCGGGACCCGTGACCAACGTCTGCTGCACCGCAAAGGAGCCCGATACCGTGGGCGGCGAGAGCGGGTTTCCTGCGGTCAGGATCGGGGAGGAAAGCGACTGCAGCGTGTAACTGCCCGTAAGGTCGGGCGGGGCTTCCGGTTCCGGGTCCACTGGATCCTCGCCCGCATCCCGCGACGGCGAAGACGGTCAGGAGGAGGGAAAAAAGTGGCTTCGGGATGGGACGGAGCATGGCCTTCTCGCTGTTGGCGGGGTCCGGCACCAACGATTTGGACGGGCCGTCAAGCCGCGCGCTCCCGCGCAGCGGACGCACCCGGAAGGGGGCGCAACCTCCATAACAACTTACAGTCAGGGCCGATTCCTCACCAGAAGAGGCCTATTCCCGGGCAGCCAACCTTCTGTCGATGCGTGGTTTCGGTTAGCATCCAGCGGGTAAACGGACGTTTCCCGTGAGACGGCTTCGTATGGGAATTGCAACCCCTACGGCCCGGGAGCATCTTGTCTTCCGAGGCGTGATGCCGGTAGCGGGGCAGTTGGGCTGGTCCAGTATTGCGGCGACGCGAGATCCGAAACCCCACGGCGGGAATGACGAACTTCAGTGACGAAGATATCGGCCGCCAGCTAACGCTTGGCGAAGACAGCGTCTGGGAATTCAAGCAGATCGAATTCTCGGGCGATCGGCCCAGGAAGCCGCGCCCGGACGACTTGGCCGACGAAATCGCCGCTTTCGCCAACTCCGACGGCGGTGTGTTGCTCTGCGGAATCACCGACCGGGGTGACGTGCAGGGAATGTCTCGGGAGCAGATGGACGCGCTGGTTGATGTCTTGGGAGACATCTGCGCTCAAAAGATCAGGCCGCCCCTCTCCGCTACGATCCGCCGACGGATGTTGAGCGACGGCAAGCCCTTCGTTCTCGTCGAGGTGCCCAAAGGAGATGCGCAGCACGATAGCCCGGGCGGTAGCTTCCGCCGCGTCGGGAGTTCCAAGCGGAGAATGACAGGCGACGAGCGCCTGCGCCTGGCTCAGCGGCGGGGACAGGCGCGTTTCTTATGGTTCGATCAGCAACCAGTTCCCGAAACCGGATTCGGGACGCTGGACGAAGGGCTATGGAGACCGTTGCTCAGTTCCAGAGCCCTGGCCGATCCTGCGGTCTCGCTCGAGAAGATGGGACTACTGGTCCGTGACGATGCCGGTGTCGTCAGAGCCTCGGTCACGGGACTGCTGATGTGCAGCACTACACCGGATCAGTGGCTGCCGCACGCCTGTATCACCGCGACCCAATACCGGGGGCTCGACCGCGCTTCTGGCCAGCTGGACGCCCAAACCATCACCGGCCCGCTCAACCAGCAGATCACCAGGGCCGTGGCCTTCGTCATGCGCAACATGCGCGTCGGGGCTCACAAGATGCCGGCACGCGTCGACTTGCCCCAGTACAGCGATCGGGCGGTGTTCGAAGCCATCGTCAACGCCGTGGTACACCGGGACTACTCCATCCGCGGCAGCCGCATCCGACTATCGATGTTCGCGGACCGGATCGAGATCAGCTCCCCGGGTGCTCTGCCGAACGGCATGACGGTCGAGAACATGGCCACCCGCCAATCGACGCGAAACGAGGCGCTCGCCTCGGTTCTCGGGCGAATGTCTGTGGGGAGCATCTCGGGATCGCGCGACCGGGACCACTTCATGGAGAGGAGAGGCGACGGCATCCCGATCATCTGGAGTGAAACGGAGAAATTGAGCGGCAGGCTACCCGAGCGAGAACTGATCGACGAAACAGAGCTGCGACTGACTATTCCGGCGGCGGCGACAGATGTGACGCCGGCCGACACGGTGATCATTACACGCACTGCAGGCAGTCCGGCGTCTGGAGTCGAACTCCTTGTGCTGTTTCCCAACAGGACTTGGGTCAGAGGCCAGGACCGATGACGGGGGCGAAGCCCGCGTGCAGTTGTACGCGACGCATCTTCCGATGACGGTGTTCGCGGCGCGAGACGGGCTCGAAGCGACGGTCCTAGAAAATTGGAGACCAGCGGAGCAGGCTCTCGCCCTGGATCTGCCGGCTCTGCCAGGGGGCGGCTCGGCCATCTTCTCCGAGGCTGTCGGTGAGCTACCTGGTATCGAGGGGACGCTGAACCCGATCCGGGATACGCTCGACCGAACGTACCTGTACGCATCCAACATCGCGATCAACGAGGGACAGCCCCAGCCGGTCCAATTCCGACTCGGCGAAGCGCTACGGCTTACCGACGCGCGGGGCAGGGAGCTTCTCGCGAACATCTTCGACATTGTGGTCGGGCGGTGCTGGTGGAGTACAGGGCGGTTGGGAGAGAGGATGGGAGAACATCGTGAACTGCTGTAAGAATTATAGTGCTGAATGTGCTAGAGGTGTCTGGAGCACCGGAGTAGATCCAAATCTTAGCTCAAAACTGGCGAAAATCATTGCGTTGGACCGGAAAGATGACTGCTTTTTCGTGTGGGACATTCTCAAGACATCAGGTCTGCTCGGGGAATGATGTCCATCAATACGAACTTGAGCGAGGATTCCCGTCCCGGCGAACGCTCGAGCCCTTTGTCTTCCGGCGCGATCCATAGTTCTGCGTCCCTCCACGTCAGGTATTCCATCGACGAGTCGCCAGGTTTCGTATCCTTGAATCGACCGACGAGCGACCTCGTTTTCGGTTGCCGGCGCCCGTCCACCCCCTACATTCCTCCCCCGGTGCCGGTGACTACAACCCTTCACCATTTGACAAACAGGACCAGCGCGTGACGACACCTCCAGAGCCTCACGTCGAGTTCGAGGACATCGCCAAGAGCTACGATGGCCGTGTCCTGGCCGTTCAGGGGCTGAACCTCGCGGTGCGACGGGGCGAGTTCCTGAGCCTGCTCGGGCCGTCCGGGTCCGGGAAGACGACGTGCCTGATGATGCTGGCCGGTTTCGAGACCCCGACCACGGGCGCCATCCGCATCAACGGACGCTCCGTCCACGCGTTGCCGCCCCGCAAGCGGGGCATCGGCATGGTGTTCCAGGACTACGCGCTCTTTCCCCACATGACCGTGGAGGACAACCTCGCCTTCCCGCTGGATGTGCGCGGCATCGGCCGCGAGCGGCGCGGCGAGCTGGTCGACCGGGCCCTTCAGCTGGTCCGGCTGGAGGGCTTCCAGATGCGCAGGCCCGGGCAGCTCTCGGGAGGTCAGCAGCAGCGCGTGGCCATCGCCCGCGCTCTCGTGTTCGAACCGGAGCTCGTGTTGATGGACGAGCCCCTGGGTGCCCTGGACCGCCATCTGCGTGAGGAGATGCAGTACGAGATCCGCCGCATCCACCGGACGCTCGGCGTGACCATCGTCTACGTGACCCATGACCAGCAGGAAGCGATGGTCATGTCGGACCGCATCGCCGTGCTGCGCGACGGCATGATCGAGCAGATCGCGCCGCCCGAAGCCCTGTACGAAGAGCCGAATCGCTCCTTCGTGGCGCGCTTCATCGGCGAGAACAACCGTCTGCATGGACGGGTGGCCGGGGTCCTCGGGGACCTGTGCGAGGTGGCCGTCGGCGACAAGGTCGTGCAGGCGCTGCGCGTGGTGGATTGCGCACCGGGGGACCGAGTCACCCTGTCGTCCGCCCCGAGCGGTGGCGATCCACCCGGTGGCTGCTTGTACACCAACGAATTCGACGCGCTGATCGAGCACATAACCTTCGTGGGGATCACTTGCGCATTCGCATGGAGACATGCGGGCCGGCCGGACTTCATCGCCAAGATCCCCCAACGTGGTGGGGCAGGGGCCGTGTTGGAGGGCGACCAGATTCCGGGTGGGATGGACGCCGACCGATTGCCGCGTGCTGGACTACGTCGCGGTCCGGAGGCCGAGGCGTGAGGCGCGCGGTATGAGGCGCGGACTGGCCGTGGCAGCGGTTCGCGGCACCTGGGCGCGGCCTTGTGGCGGAGACGCCGTGATTCCCTGACTGTCGCTTCCTGGGGCGGCTCCTACCACGCGCGCCTGCAGCTGGCGTATTACGAGCCGTTTTCCGCGGACACGGACATCGTCATTCGGGAAGCGCTCTACAACGGCGGACTGGCCGAGGTCCGTGCCCAGGTGGATGTGGGCCGGGTTCACTGGGACATCGTCTCCATGGAGATGGCCGACGCGGTGCGCGGCTGCGACGAGGGACTGCTCGAGCCGCTGGATCCGGCGCAGTGGGCCCCGGGAGCGGACGGTGCGCCTCCCGAAGAGGACTTCTTTCCGGGGACGCTGACCGAGTGCGGCGTCGGTGCCGAGTTCTACGCGACCGTCATCGCGTACAACCGGGAGAACATCCCCGGCCCCAGGCCCGCCACCATACAGGACTTCTTCGATCTGGAAGCCTTTCCGGGACGCCGGGGGATGCGCCGCAAGCCTATGGGGAACATGGAGTTCGCGCTCATGGCGGACGGAGTGCCGCCCGAGGAGGTGTACGCCGTGCTGGACACCCCCGAGGGCATCGAGCGCGCGTTCCGCAAGCTGGACACCATCAAGGACCAGATCGTCTGGTGGGAGGCGGGTGCCCAGCCGCCGCAGCTGCTCGCCGACGGCGAAGTCACCCTGACCACGGCCTACAACGGCCGCATCTTCAACGCCCAGGTGCTGGAGAACCAGCCCTTCGAGATCATCTGGGACGGCCAGCTGCTGGACTTCGGGCAGCTGGTGGTGGTGGCCGGGACGCCGAACCTGGACGCGGCCTTGCGGTTCCTGGCCTTCGCGACCTCGTCCCGGTCCATGGCCGCGGTCAGCGGTCACATCTCCTACAGCCCCACCCGCTACTCGGGCCTGCCGCTGGTGGGGACCCACGTCGAGGCCGGCGTGGACATGCTCCCGCACATGCCCACCTATCCGGAGAACCTCGAGAGGGCGCTGCGCAACGACTGGGAGTGGTGGGTGAACCACACCGACGAAATGAACGAGCGCTTCAGTTCGTGGCTGGCGCGTTGACGACCGGGGACCGGAGTAGACGCGATGCGGCGTAGGCGCGATTGGCCGCCGCGCATGCGGGCGGCCGGGCTGGCGCTGCCGCTCCTGGCGTTCATAGGCGTGTGACTTCGTTCGACCCCTCTCGCCACCCATGCCATGACCGCAGACGTCTACGTGGACCCGTGGTCGTCGGACGCGGCTTTCCGACCCTGGCTGCTGCTGGAGGATGGTCGCGAGGACGTGCCCGCAGACGACATCTTTGCCGTCGCGGCGCGCGAACTGGGGCAGGCGCAGGAAGAACGGGTGATCGGGCGGGTCGCGGGCCGGGTCAACCGCGTCCAGGGCGGCCTGCGCAGCGTCATCGCGGTGACGGGGCGGCGGCTGCCCCCGTCTCCCGAGACATCGTGGCGGGAGACGCTGACCGGGATCAACCCGGCCTGGGGCGACGTGAGCACATGGCAAGCGCTGCGCACGGCCGGCGAGCGCTTCACGACCCGCCACTACCTGGCCGCGCTCGACCTGACGCGGCTTCCCGACGGATCCGTCGCGCGCCAGGATGAGGACCGCCGGATCTACCTGCGGCTCTTCGCGCGCACCTTCCTGGTCAGCCTGACCATCACCGGGTTGTGCCTCCTGTTCGGCTACCCGCTCGCACATCTGATCGCCCACGCGTCGTCGCGCCGTGCCGGCCTGCTCCTGGCGCTGGTGCTGGTTCCGTTCTGGACGTCGCTGCTGGTGCGCACCACCTCCTGGATCGTGCTGCTGCAGGGCCAGGGGGTGATCAACGACATCCTGGTCGCGCTGGGACTCGTGTCCGACGATGGGCGGCTCGCCCTCATCTACAACATGACCGGCACCTTCGTAGCGATGACGCACGCTTGCTGTTGCCCTTCATGGTGCTGCCGCTCTACTCCGTCATGCGCGGCATTCCGCGCTCGCACATGAACGCGGCCGCTTCTCTCGGCGCCGGGCCTGTCCAGGGCTTTCTGCGCGTCTACTGGCCGCAGACCCTCCCCGGAGTGGGCGCGGGAAGCCTGCTCGTGTTCATCCTGGCGATCGGCTACTACATCACGCCGGCGCTGGTGGGCGGGAGCACCGGCCAGCTGATCTCCAACATGGTGGCGTACCACATGCAGACCTCGCTCAACTGGGGGCTGGCGTCGGCGCTGGGCGGATCATCCTGACGTGCGTGATCGGGCTCTACCTGCTGTATGAGCGAGTGGCGGGGACCGAACGCGTGAGCGTGGCCTGACAATGCAGGCGCTGAGCAGAGGAGAGCGCGCCGGGCGCGTCATCCACGCTGGCGTTCTGCGCGGCGGTCCTCTTCTTCCTGATGGCTCCGATCCTCGTGATCGTGCCGCTGAGCTTCAACGCCGAGCCCTACTTTACCTTCACCGAAGGAATGCTGCGGCTCGATCCGGATGCCTGGTCCCTGCGCTGGTACCGGGAGATCGCGACCAGCGACGTATGGCGGAACGCCCTGGCCAACAGCCTGGTGATCGGCGTGGCCGCCACCGCGCTGGCCACCTTCCTGGGCACGCTGGCGGCGCTGGGGCTCTCGAGCCCGCACATCCCGGCGCGCCGCTTCCTGATGGGATTCCTGGTCTCTCCGCTGGTGACGCCGGTGATCATCTCGGCCGCGGGGATGTTCTTCTTCTACTCCCGGATAGGGCTGGGCCAGACCCACCTCGGGTTGATTCTGGCGCACGCGGCGCTGGGTACGCCCTTCGTGGTGGTCACGGTCACGGCCACCCTGACCGCCTACAACATCAATCTGAATCGCGCCGCCGCGTCGCTGGGGGCGGGGCCGCTGCGGACCTTCACCCGCGTGCAGCTGCCGCTGATCGCCCCGGGGGTGCTGTCGGGCGCGCTCTTCGCGTTCGCCACCTCGTTCGACGAGGTCGTGGTCGTGCTCTTCCTGGGCGGGGTGGAGCAGAACACCATCCCGCGCCAGATGTGGGCGGGCATCCGCGAGGAGATCAGCCCCGCCATCCTGGCGGTCGCCACCTTCCTGATCGTGTTTGCGGCGGCGCTGCTGTTCACGGTGGCGTGGTTGAGGAGGAGGGCGGCGGCTTGACCTGGGCGGGAACCGATGTCCTGCCCAAACATCAGCACATGCCCCTCCGGGTCGGCCACCTCGAACTCCCGCAGCCAGAAGCGCACCGATGCCGGCACATCGGCGCACATCAGCAGCGGTATCAGATCGATGAATGGAGAGGGGGCCATGCGGGCAGGCTGCGACCCGCCCCGGCTGCCGGCGCGGGTTCCGGGCACGGATGCCACGTCTCCCCCGGGCCCAGGCGTGGACCCGGGGAGAGACTCGGGATTCAGAGTCGGCTAGGGCTCGGGCGTGGCGGCGTCGACCATCGCCGCCAGCTCCTCGTAAGCCGTCGGATCCACCTGGGCGAACTGGGGGATCACGCCGGCGATGCGCCCGTCCGGGCCCACCACGATGACCGAGCGACTGTCGGCCATGTTGTTGTCGCGCTTGGCGCCGCCGAACGCCGCGTAGGTGGCGCCGTCGGTGCCGGCATCGCTGACGAACAGGAAGGGGAAGTCTTCGTCCTTGAGCCAGGATCCGAGTTCTTCGGGGCTGTCGTTGGAGATCCCGATGACGACGACATTCTGGCCTTCGTTGAACAAGCTTGCGTACTGATCACGGTACGCTGTCATTTGCACCGTTCACCCACGCGTTCGAACGCGGAAGAAAAAGGCCAGGACGACGGTCTCGCCTCGATAGTCGCTCAGGCGAACCGGGTCTTGCAAAACGCCGAAGCGAGAGGCGCCGGGAAGCTCGAAGTCGGGGGCCATCTCTCCTACATCGAGGAGTTGGGCCTCCGCCTCCGCGGGGCTTCCGAGCCCGAGCAGCCCGGCGAGCAGAAAGAGGGCGGCGAACCTGCGCATGTGGATCCTCCCTGGAATCGGTTGGCGGGTTGGAAGGCACCGTGAGGTGGTACGACTCACGGACCGCAGGTGACAAATTGGGTTGTCGGCTTCCATCGCGACAGGGGCAAACTCGTCCTCTGCCAGGAAGAACAGGTCGGCCGCGGGACTCTCGTCTTGTCGGCGCTGCGTCAGGGAAGGCGGGTGGCTCCCATCAGATAACGGTCGATTTCGCGCGCCGCCTCGCGACCTTCGCGAATGGCCCACACCACCAGCGACTGGCCGCGCCGGCAATCTCCCGCTGCGAATACCCCTTCTACATTCGTGGCATACGAACCGAATTCCGCCGCGTAGTTGGACTGTCTGTCATAGGCGATGCCGAGGGGATCCGAACTCGCATGTTCGGGGCCCAGAAACCCCATCGACAGAAGAATCAGATCCGCGCTCCACTCCCTCTGGCTTCCGACCACCTTGTGCATGCGCCCGCGCCGGAAGATCACGTCCACGGTGCGCACCCCCGCCACCGCGCCGTCCGCCCCGGCGTAGAACCCCTCCGCGGAGATCGCATAGACGCGCGGGTCGTGACCGAACCGGGCCGCGGATTCCTCGTGCCCGTACTCGACCCGGAAGATCAGCGGCCAGGTCGGCCAGGGGTTGTCGGGAGCGCGCTCCTCCGGCAGGCGCGGCAGAAGTTCGAAGTTGACCAGGCTGCGGCAGGACTGGCGCAGGGACGTGCCGATGCAGTCCGTGCCGGTATCACCCCCGCCGATGACGAGGACATCGCGGCCGGTGGCGGAAATCGCGGGACTGTGATCGCCCAGAACCGCCTGGATGCTGTCGGTCAGGTAGTCCATGGCGAAGTGGATGCCGGTCAGCTCGCGGCCTCCCACCGGAAGGTCGCGCGGTTGCGTGGTGCCGGTCGCCAGCAGCAGGGCGTCGAACTGCGCCCGGAGTTCGCGCGAATCAATCGATCCGTCGCTACCATCCGCGACCGCTGTGTTGGTGATGAACTCGACCCCCTCCTCGCGCAGGAGCCCGACCCGCCGTTCCACGATGTTCTTGTCGAGCTTCATGTTGGGGATGCCGTACATCAGCAGGCCGCCGATGCGGTCGGCGCGCTCGTAGACCGTGACCCGGTGTCCCGCGGAGTTGAGCTGTGCCGCGGCCGCCAGCCCGGCCGGACCGGAGCCCACCACCGCCACTCGCTTGCCTGTGCGCGCCGGCGGCGGTTCGGCCCTCACCCATCCCTCGGAGAAGCCGCGGTCCGCGATCGCCATCTCGATGTTCTTGATGGTGACGGGCGGATCCGCGATGCCGAGTACGCAAGAGCCCTCGCAGGGGGCCGGACACACGCGGCCGGTGAACTCCGGGAAGTTGTTGGTCTTGTGCAGACGGTCCAGCGCCGCCCGCCAGCGTCCCTGGTAGACGAGGTCGTTCCACTCCGGAATCAGATTGTAGACCGGGCAGCCGTCGTCGGACTGGCAGAAAGGCACGCCGCAGTCCATGCAGCGCGCCCCCTGCGTTTGCAGGCGGCTGTCCACGTGTGGCGTATAGATCTCGTCAAAATCCAGAATCCGCTCGACGGGATCGCGATAGGGCGCTGCCTGACGCGCGAATTCCTTGAAGCCGGTGACTTTGCCCATGTCTTTGAGGCTCAGGTGCGGGCCGCGTTGGGCAAGCGACGGGCTCCGTTGGTCGCCGCCCGCTGCTCCACGGCCCGCTTGTAGTCGATGGGCACCACCCTGACGAACTCGCGGTGGCTGGCGCTCCAGTCGGCGAGGATTCCGGCCGCCACGGTGGAGCCGGTGTACGCCTGGTGGCGTTCGATCAGGCGGCGGACTTCCTCTCGCTCCTCTGGGTCGGAGAGCCGCTCGAGCACGACCAGATCCATGTTGCAGCGGCGCTCGAAGGTCTGGTGCGGATCCCGGACGTAGGCAAGCCCCCCCGACATGCCGGCGGCGAAGTTGATCCCGGTCTCGCCCAGAACCACGACCCGGCCTCCGGTCATGTACTCGCAGCCATGGTCGCCAATGCCCTCCACCACCGCCGTAGCGCCACTGTTGCGCACGCAGAACCGCTCGGCCGCGATGCCCCGGAAGAAGCCCTCTCCGCTGGTGGCGCCGTAGAACACGACGTTGCCGACCAGAATGTTCTCCTCCGCCTTGAAGCGGGACGCCCGGGGCGGATAGATGATGATCCTGCCTCCGGAAAGCCCCTTGCCGACGTAGTCGTTGGCATCGCCCTCCACTTCGAGCGTCACCCCGCGCGCGAGCCAGGCGCCGAAGCTCTGGCCCGCGCTCCCGCGGAAACGGAAATGAATGGAGCCTTCGGGCAGCATGCCCGGCCCGACCTCGCGGATGATGTGATTGGACAGCATGCCGCCGACCACCCGGTGCCCGTTGGAGATGAGCATGTCGTGGCGTACCGGTCTGCCTTCCGCGATGGCCGGCCGCGCCAGGCGGATGAGCCTGTGGTCGAGGGCTCCCTCGAGGCCGTGGTCCTGATCGTGCCGGCGGTAGACGCCCAGGCAGTCGGGCGGCTCCAGTGCCGGCATCAGGAGCGCGTCCACATTGAGGCTCCTCGCCTTCCAGTGGCCGGGCAGGGGCGCGGCTCTCAGCGCGTCCACGCGGCCGATCATCTCGTTCACGGTGCGGAAGCCCAGGCGCGCCATGATCTCCCGGAGTTCGCGCGCGACCATGAACAGGTAGTTGATCACGTATTCCGGCTTGCCGGAAAACTTCTTGCGTAGTTCCGGGTCCTGGGTCGCCACACCCACCGGGCATGTGTTCAGGTGGCACTTGCGCATCATGACGCAGCCCAGCGTGATCAGCGGGGCGGTGGAGAAGCCGAACTCCTCCGCACCCAGGAACGCGGCGATGGCTACGTCCCGGCCCGTCTTGAGCTGCCCGTCGGTCTGAAGGACGACCCTTGAGCGCAGGTTGTTCATCACCAGCGTCTGATGGACTTCGGCGATCCCGATCTCCCAGGGCATGCCCGCGTGCTTGATGGAGGTGAGGGGAGAGGCGCCCGTGCCTCCGCTGTCGCCCGAGATCACCAGGTGTTCGGCGCGTGCCTTGACCACTCCGGCGGCGACCGTGCCCACGCCAACCTCGGCGCACAGCTTCACGCTGATGCGCGCCAGCGGGTTGGCGTTCTTGAGGTCGTGGATGAGCTGCGCGATGTCCTCGATGGAGTAGATATCGTGGTGGGGGGGCGGACTGATCAGCCCCACGCCCGGGGTCGAATGCCGGATCGACGCGATATAGTCGTCCACCTTGCGGCCCGGAAGCTCGCCGCCCTCCCCGGGTTTGGCCGCCTGCACGATCTTGATCTGCAGCTCGTCGGCTGCGGTGAGATACGCGATCGTCACCCCGGAGCGTCCGCTGGCCACCTGCTTGATCGCGGAGCGGCGCAGGCCCCCGTCCGGGTCGGGGACGTTGCGGGCCGCGTCCTCTCCGCCTTCGCCCGAATTGGACTTGGCGCCGATGCGGTTCATGGCCAGCGCGAGCGACTCGTGGGCCTCCCGGGAGATGGAGCCGAAGCTCATGGCGCCGGTGGCGAAGCGCTTCACGATCTCGGCTTCGGGCTCGACCTGATCGAGAGGCACGGGGGCGCCCGGAAGATCGAATTCGAGCAGACCGCGCAGGGTGGCCTTGCGGGTGTTCTCGTCGTTGGCGTGATGGGCGAAGCTCCGGTAGGCGTCCTCGGAATTGGTGCGTGCGGCAACCCGCAGTCCGCGAACGGAAGCCGGGTCCCACATGTGGCGCGCCCCGCCCTTGCGCCAGTGGAAATCCCCCGGATTGGGCAGCGTGCGACCGTTGCCGTGCGCCCCGCCCCCGAAACCCAGCTCGTGACGGCGCGCGATCTCTTCGGCCAGCACGCCGAACCCGATCCCGCCCACGCGGCTCTCCGTGTCGGTGAAGCAGCGGTTGACCACCTCCGGCCCCAGCCCGACCGCCTCGAAGATCTGCGCCCCCTTGTAAGACTGCAGGGTCGAGATGCCCATCTTGGCCATCACCTTGAGGATGCCCTTGCCGACGCCCTTGCGGTAGGCGGCGACCACGTCGTCGTCGGAGCGGATGTGGTCGAAGCTGTCCATCCGCCCGGTGCGCCGGACGTGCCACAGCGACTCGAAGGCGAGATAGGGGTTGATGGCGTCCGCCCCGTAGCCGACGAGCAGGCAGTGGTGGTGCACTTCGCGTGCCTCCCCGGTTTCCACGATCAGGGCGATGCGCGAACGCTGGTGGGTGCGAACCAGATGGTGGTGAACGCAGCCGAGGGCGAGCAGGGAACTGATGGGAAGACGGTCGGGGCCGATCGCGCGGTCGGAGAGCACGAGCACGCGGATTCCTTCCTCCACGGCCCGGCTGGCTTCCCGCTCGATGCGCGAAAGGGCGTCGATCAGGCCCCGTTTCCCGGAGCCGCGCGCGAAGGTGGTCTCCAGGGTCCGACGACGCCAGCCGCGGTTCTCCAGGCGTGACAGACCGGCGAACTGCCGGTTGGAGAGAATCGGGTGGGGCAGACGCAGCCGGTGCGCGTGCTCCTCCGTGACCTCCAGCAGGTTGCCCTCGGGCCCGATGTAGCACTCCAGCGACATGACGACTTCCTCGCGAATCGAATCGATGGCGGGATTCGTCACCTGCGCGAAGCGCTGCTTGAAGTAGTCGTAGAGCATGCGCGGCTGGTCAGACAGCGCCGGCAGCTCCACGTCGTTGCCCATGGACCCGAGCGGGTCGCGCCGGTCGCGCACCAGGCTCAGGAGCATGAACTGCAGGGTCTCCTCGGTATATCCGAAAGCCTGCATGCGCGCGAGCACGGTGGATGCCTCGTAGCCCCGCGGATCCTCTGCCTCTGCGAGCTCCACCCGCTGTCGCGCCAGCCATTTTCCGTACGGGCCGCTGCCGCGCCCACTCCGCCTTGATCTCGTGGTCCGGCACCAGGCGCCGGCATCGAAGTCGATCAGGAAGAGCCGCCCCGGATGCAGCCGGCCCTTCTGCACCACCCGCTCGGGCGCCACCGGCAGCACGCCCACCTCGGAGGCCATGACGCACCGGTCTTCGTCGGTCACGTAGTACCGGCTCGGCCGCAGTCCGTTGCGGTCCAGCACGGCCCCGATGCAGTGGCCGTCGGTGAAGGGGATGAGGGCCGGACCGTCCCATGGCTCCATCAGGCACGACTGGAACTCGTAGAAGGCGCGCTTCTCGGCCGGCATGTCGGGCCGCTGCTGCCACGCCTCCGGGATCATGGTCATGATCGACTCCGGCAGGCTGCGCCCCGTCATGAGGAGGAACTCGAGCACGTTGTCGAAGCTGCCCGAGTCCGAGCAGTTGGGCTCGATGATGGGAAACAGCTTTTGCAGATCCTCGCCGAACAGTTGCGAGCGCATGACGCCTTCGCGCGCGTTCATCCAGTTGCAGTTGGCCAGCAGCGTATTGATCTCGCCGTTGTGGCTCATGTAGCGATTGGGCTGGGCCCGGTCCCACGACGGGAACGTGTTCGTGGAGAAGCGCGAATGCACCATCGCCATATGGGACTCGTAGTCTTCGCAGCGCAGATCGTCGAAGAACTCGAAGAGCTGATACGGCGTCAGCATGCCCTTGTAGATGAGCGTGTTGGCGGAGAGCGAGCAGAAATATGGGAGTTCCCGCCCCGAGAGACGCGGATCGCCCCGCAAACAGTGGCTGGCATACTTCCGGATCGTGTAGAGCTGGCGCTCGAACGCGCTGCTGGACAGCCCCTCGGCCGCGCCGACGAAGAGCTGCTCCAGATGGGGCATCGACGCGAGCGCGGTCTTGGTGAGTCCCGCGCGTTCGGCACTGTAGGGCAGCCTCCGCCATCCCAAGCAATGCTGTCCCTGCCCGCCGATGATGGCCTCGGTGCGCTCCTTGCAGATCTGTCGTTCGCGTCGTTCGCGCGGGAGAAAGACGAGTCCGACCCCATAGCTGCCGGGAGCGGGGAGGGATGTCCCCAGCTGCTCTCGCGCCACCCGGGCCAGGAGCCGGTGCGGTAGCCCGGTCAGGAGCCCCGCGCCGTCGCCGGTGTCCGGTTCGCAGCCGATCCCGCCTCGGTGCCCGAGACGACAGTTTATCTGGTTCGCGTCGTCGAGGATGGCGCGGCTCGCTCGCCCCTTGATGTCGCACACGAAGCCGACGCCACAGCTATCATGCTCGTAGCGAGGATCGTACAGTCCCCGGGCAGCCGGCAGGCCGGAGCGGAGTGCGGACCCTGCGTTCATCGCGCGCCTGTCAGTGTCTGGTTGGATTTGGATTCGCGAGCCCCGCACATGTGTGCGTGACGATCATTTGTATTGAGCGGGGCCCAACTGCACCGTAGGGGCCTCGCATCCCCAGGCGCGAGACGGACGGCGACCTTGGAATCGGCTGGATGTCTGCGCTCCGACTAACCTGTGGCTGGTAAGAGCGGTGCGCAACTGCAGAGCGACTGCCGCGCTGTCCTTCCTAAGTTGTTACCCACAGAACGATTTCGGATTGTGGCATCCACCCTGGGCTGTTCGCGAACGGAATCCGGACTGCGCCGGCCGGGATGCGAGGATGGTCGGGGATGGAGATGGGAGGTTCAGGCATGTTTCCCGCGGCGGGCTGCGCGGTCCGCCCGGCTCAGATTGTACCGCATGATCCGGCCGTGTGGGCCTCCCCGGTCGCGCTCGACCTCGAACACCTCTCCTCTGACCGTGTCCGGCACCGTGGCCTCGAGCCGTTCCACATCGGACGGCGTGAGGCGCACGCGGCGGCCGTCCACCATCAGGCCCCTGCGGCTCAATCCAACGATCACGGCCCCGGCGCCGGGTTGGCTCAGCACGTAGGCCACCGCCGCGTCCGCCATGGTGGTCCCGTGCCGGGCAGCCAAGTCCGCCAGCGCCGCGCGCGCCCGGTCGAGCACCTCGCGGCCGCCTGCCTCTGCGACGATCAGGCGATACTTGGTCAGCGACCGGGATCCAGCGGCGCGCCGCCGGCATCGGACAGGAGCCCGCCCGCCAGGGCGCCGTAGCCGAGAAGGGTGACGCCCCGGTCCCGGCAGAGATCCGTCAGGCCTTTCAGGGGACGACGGTCGAGAAGGGAGAGTTGGACCTGACTGGACCGCACCGGGATGCCCGCGTCCAGAAGGGCGCCGAGGGAAGCCGGGTCGAAGTTGGTGACGCCCAGGTTGCGAATGATCCCCTCCTCGCGAAGCTCCGCGAGCCACTCGGCGGTCTGCACCCACCTGGGCTGCGACAGGTCCCACCAGGCGAACTGGACCAGCTCCAGCGCGTTCACCCCAAGGCGGTCGCGTGACCGGAGCACCACGCGGCGGACGTAGTCCCGGTCGATGGTCGGCAGGGCGTCGAGATCGGGCACGAACTTGGTGTAGACGACGACGTCCTCGGCGATGTCCGGCCGTCCGGCCAGCCAGTCCCCGATGAGGCGCTCCACCCCGGTGTAGATATCGGCGCAGTCCAGGACGAGGCGGCCCGGGGCCTGGGCTGCGGCGTCCAGGGCCGCGAGGGCGCGCTCCCGGCTCCACCCGGGGCCGTGGCCGTGTGAGAGTTGCCAGCAGCCCCGGATCACGCCCGAAGGGGGCAGCCGCAGCGGTGGTCGCGCGGGATTCACCGCGGACCCAGCGGAACGCGGGTGACTTCGCTGTGGCGGAAGGTCGACGTGCCGGTCCGCGTGATGCGGAAGCGCGCGCTGCAGTGGGGGTCGGGGCAGGCGATCTCCGTGTCCGTGGTCATCCAATCGTGGGGGTGGGTCTCGCGCTGCTTCGCGGGAAGGAGGAGAAGGAGGGCGGCCAGGGGTAGATGGGAAAAGTCTGGCCGGCGGGAAAGGACAGGTTTTCTCCGCTGAGCTCGAAGTAGTCACCTGCCTTGTGGTCGCACACCATGTCGCCCTCGCCGGCGATCACCTCGACTCGCAGGTCGTAGAGTTCAAAGAAGTCGTCTTCGCCCATGCGCGCACCCTGTTTTTCCGGCGGCGGGAGGGCCGCCGGAAGCTGGACCATCCGGGGCCAATCCCCGATGATACAGCGTGTCCCGTCACCTAGGATAGCCGCCGGCACCGTGAACCCCGAACCCGATCCGCCACCGCCCGCGCACGCCGAGTCGGCGGCACCCCTTCGCTTCCACCTGGGCCTCGCGGGCGCCGTGGCCCCCATCCTGGTTTTCGCCGTCGCCGCGGCCTGGCTGGGTTTCTCGGGGGCCCCCGACGAGCGCGGTCTCTGGCCCATCCTCCTGGGGGCCCTCGGGGTCGGGGACTGCTGCTGGCCAGAAGTGCCTCCGACTACAGCGCGGCCGCGCTCAGGGGGATGTCTCGCCCGATCGTGATGCTGATGGTCGCCGCGTGGTTGCTGGCGGGGGTCTTCTCGGTGGTGCTCCGCGAATCGGGGCTCGTGCACTCTCTGGTGTGGGTCGGGGGCGAACTCGGTGTAAGCGGTGGAGGCTTCGTCCTTATGGCGTTCCTAATCGCAGTCCTGTTCTCCACGGCGACGGGGACGAGCCTCGGCACGATCCTGATATGCGCTCCGCTCCTCTACCCCGCGGCGGGCGTCCTCGAGGCCAGGCCGGTCGCCCTGATCGGGGCCATCCTGGCCGGGGCCACCTTCGGCGACAATGTCTCGCCCGTGTCCGACACCACGATCGCATCAGCGAGCAGCCAGGGGGCGCCCATGGGGGGCGTGGTGCGCAGCCGCCTCCGCTACGCGCTTCCGGCCGCGGTGGTCGCGGCCCTGATTCTCACCCTGCTGGGCGGCGCGGAAACACCGGTCACGCAGGCGGCCGGGCCAGGTGCGGTGCTCGCGGGCAATCCGGCCGCGCTCCCCATGCTGCTGGCGCCTCTGACCGCCTTCGTCATGCTGTGGCGGGGGCGCGGCCTGGTGGAGAGCCTCTTCGCCGGTGTGGCCGCGGCCGTGGTCCTGGCCCTGGCGCTCGGGCTCGTCGCGCCGGCCGACCTCCTGTACATAGACAGGGAGGCCTTCCAGGCCCGTGGGTTGATCCTCGACGGAATGGAGGGGGCCGTCGGGATCGTGATCTTCACCATCCTCCTGATGAGCATCGTGGGGGCGGCGCAGGAGGCGGGCATTCTGGACCGCTTGGTGCGGGCCCCCCCGGCGGACGGTCGAAACGGCGCGCGCCGCGGAGCTGCGGATCTTCGGCGTGACAAGCGTGGCGGTATTGCTGACCACGCATTCGGTCATAGCGATCCTCGCCGTCGGCGACCTGGTCAGGGACTCGGGCAGGCGCGCCGGTGTGGGACGTTTCAGGCGCGCCAACCTTCTCGACATGACCGTCTGCACCTACCCTTTTCTCCTCCCCTTCTTCATTCCGACCATTCTGGCGGCTTCCGCCACGGCTTCGGGCGAGCCCTTCGGGATCCCCCGGGTGTCGGCCCTTGAAGCCGGGCTGGCAAACCCATATTCGTGGGCGCTCCTCGTCGTGATCCTGGTGGCCATCGGGACGGGCCTGGGGAGATCCGAAGCTGACAGGGATGCGGCCATCGCCTCGAGGTGAGGCGCCGGTGTGCCGTCGCAGAGTACCGTGAGCCGGCCGCGGGTCGTGCTCTTCCCGCACCAGGCGATGCGAGCGTAGCTTGCAACCTGTTGGCCGGGATGGCGAAACGGTAGACGCAGGGGACTTAAAATCCCCCAGGCCATGGCCTGTGTGGGTTCGAATCCCACTCCCGGCATTCGGTGGGTGGCGGAGCGTGCACCAGCGCGCGCGTGAAAAACGCGGCCGGAGGCGTTACTATGCCCGTCGCGCACGCATACTACCGAGTAACGACGTCCGTTTCGGGAAACACACCGGCGAGGAGGCCCCCAATGTCGAAGCAACACCCGTTCAGCCGCAGGACCTTTTTGAGAGGCGCAGGAATGACGGCCGTCCTTGGCGCGGTGGGGGCCAGGCCGGGCGGAATCGGCGGAACTGCCGACCTCCTGGCCTCGACATCCGGGCAGACCTTCGACTTCGACGCGATCTACGACCGCAGGGGCACCGACTGCAACAAGTGGGATCGGGCGATCGAGATGTTCGGGGAGGACATCGAGGTCGGCATGGGGATCGCCGACATGGACTTCCGTGCCGCCCCGTGCATCACCGAGGCCCTCGCGAAGCGCTGCGAACACGAGAACTGGGGCTACCTGAGCCGACCCGCGTCCTACACGCAGGCGATCGCGGACTGGAACCATCGCCGCTACGGCCTGGAGGTCGATCCGGCGACCATCGAGGTGACCACGGGTGTCCATCCGGGGCTGATCGCGGCGCTTCACGCCTTCTCCCCTCCGGGGTCGAGAGTGCTCATGAACACGCCCACATACAACGGCTTCTACAGCGACCTTCGCTTCACGCGCACCGTGGCGGAGGACAGCGAGATGCACGTGGTGAACGGGCGCTACGAGATCGACTGGGACGACTTCGAACGGCGCGCGACGCGCGTCAACGCCTTCCTCCTGTGCAACCCCCAGAACCCCACGGGCAACTGCTGGTCCGAAGCGGATCTGCTGCGCATGGGCGAGATCTGTCTCCGGAATCGCGTCGTCGTGCTCGCGGACGAAATCCACTGCGACTTCGTGACCGCCGGCAACAAGTACACGCCCTTCGCCAGCCTCCCGGACCGGGACATCGTCAACAACAGCCTGACCTTCAAGGCCGCCAGCAAGACCTTCAGCCTCGCCGCCATGAAGGCCGCCTGGTATTTCTCCACCAACCGCAACCTGCTTGAGCGGGCGCGCTCCTACACCCGGGCCGACCTGAGCACTCTGGGGATGGAGGCCAACCGGGCCGCTCTCACCCAGGGTGACGACTGGCTCGACCAGCTCCTCCCCTACATCGACGCCAACCACGATCTGGCGGAGGCCTACCTCAGGGACAATGCTCCCGGGGTAGAGTATACCAAGGCCCAGGGGACCTATCTCGCCTGGCTGGATGTGAGCGGGTTGATGGACAAGGTGGGCGCCCGCGAGATGGCGGAGCACGAAAACAAGACATCGGATTCTCCGGTCACCCCGGAGCAGATCATGCAGCAGTGGTTCGCCGACAACGCCCGGATCTACCTCAATCCGGGCCACTCCTACGGAACCGGCGGCACCGCGCACATGCGCATGAACCTGGCCACCTCGCGCACGCTCATTCGGAAGGCGCTGGACAACATCGCCGAGGCCGTGGCAAAGGCGTAGGGCGAAAGCCTGGCGAGGCCGGAGTCATCCGGCTGCCTGGCACGAAACGGCGGCGGGTCGCGCATCGCGGACCCGCCGCCGCTTTGTTGTTCGCGGGCGGGGCATGGAGCCGGTGCCCTCGAGACTGCTGGTGCCCGGTTGATGCCGGGAACCAGCTTCGGATCAGGCCGGCAGCCCGTGCAGGATCACGCGCTCCATCGCGTCGGCGAACCGGTCGAGTTCCTCGAGGGTCGTGTACACGCTGGGGGTGATGCGCGAGCCGGTGCACTCCTCGTGCCCGATGCCGACCGCGATGATGCGTTGCTCGTTCCACAGGTACTGGTTGAGGGCGCCGGGATCGATGCCCTCGATCTGCACGTTGGCGAGCCCGCAGGCGAAGCCCGGCTCGCGGCTGGTGTGCAGGCGTACCCGGTCGTGCTGGAGCAGGCGGCCGCCCAATAGTCGCGCAGGTAGACCATGCGGGCCTCCTTGCGCGCCCCGCCGATGCCCTGGTGGAAGGTGAGCGCCTCCGCGATGGCGAGATAGTTCGCGGCCGGGTGCGTGCCGATTTCCTCGAACTTGCGGATGTTGTCGTCCATGCGCTCCGCGGCGGCTGTGAGCGGCCAAACCTCCCCGATCCTCTCCTTGCGGACGTAGAGCAGCCCGGTCCCGTGGGGCGCGAACAGCCACTTGTGCAGGGACGTGGCGTAGAAGTCCACGTCCAGCTCGCCGAGATCGAAGTCGAAATGCGCCAGGGCGTGGGCCCCGTCCACCAGCACCGGGATGCCGTGGCGGCGGCCGAGCGCGGTAAGTTCCTTCACGGGCAGGATCTGGCCGGTGAGGTTGATCATGTGGCAGCACAGGATCATGCGTGTGCGCGGGGTGATGGCCTCCTCGAAGAGCCGCACGATTTCGGCGGGATCCTCCGCGGGAACCGGGATCCGGATCTGCTTCAGCAGGATGCCGTCGCGCCGCTCTCGCTGGCGGAAGGTCGTGATCATGCGCCCGTAGTCCTGGGTCGTGGTGAGCACTTCGTCTCCCCGCTCGAAGTCGAACCCGTGCTGCAGGATCTGCAGGCCCTCGGAGGCGTTGCGCGTCAGCGCGATCTCCTCGGGATCCACATTCCACTCGCGGGCCAGGCGGGCGCGCACAGCCTCCCGCTGGGGCTCGAGGATCTGCCACATCGTGTAGGTGGGCGCCTCGTTGGAGTAGTCGAGGTGGCGCTTCATCGCCTCCTGCACCCAGCGCGGCGACGGGCTTACGCCCCCGTTGTTCAGGTTGATCAGGCTGCGGTCGACCGTGAAGGCCCGGGCAACGCCGGCCCAGAAGTCTTCGTCGCGCGCAACCTGGCTCGGCGTGCCGGGCCAACTGCCCAGCTCATCGGCGACCTCACGAGCGCTCGCGGAAAGGCGGGCGGGCAGGAGGGGCAGTCCGGCGGCGGCCACGGCGGGCACGGCGATGGATCCGAGAAACTGGCGGCGACTGGACATGTTCGGGTCTCCTGTCAGGTTGGACACAAGCTCGGCTCCAAGCACCATATGACGCCGGGCGGGGAATGTCACCTGTGCATGGCCGGGCGCCGACAGCCATGGCGCGGGACTCGGAACATTTGGTCAGCGGACGGGGGGCTATTCTCGCGGCGTCGCATCGTATTCTGAAGCGCTCTTTCATCGAAATTCCACCCAACTCGCGCGGTATTCGGGCAACCCTGGCATGAACAAGAAGAGGATTCCGCTGCCGAAGTTGCCTGGTCTGGTGTGCGCGGCCGTGCTGATCTGCGCGTCGCTCCCCGCCGCGGCACAGGCTCCGCCGGACTCGACGGATCCCGACTCCACGGCCTACGAGCTGGACCCGCTGGTCGTTACCGCGACCCGCCTGGGCACCACAACCGACCTGCTCGCCGTTTCCGTCAACCTGGTGGGGCGCGCGGAGGTGCGTGACCAGCCGAATCGCCTCCTCCTGGATGCTCTCGCCGCCGAGCCCGGCGTGCTGGTGCAGCAGACCACCGCGGGGCAGGGGGCCGCCTTCGTGCGCGCACTTACCGGGAGCCAGGTGCTGTTGATGGTCGACGGCGTGCGGCTCAACAACGGCACCTTCCGCCAGGGTCCGAGCCAGTACCTTTCCTCAGTCGATCCCGAGATCATGGAGCGCATGGAGGTCGTGCGCGGGGCTTCCTCCACCCTCTACGGCTCGGATGCCATGGGCGGCGTGATCAACGTAATCACGCGTCGGGCAGCCGACGTGCTGGATCCGGGCCAACGCTGGGTCGCCGAGGGATCGTACACCTTCGACGGTGCCACGGACGGCAGCCGGGTGCGAGCCTCGACGGCAGCGGCGTTCCCGGATTTCATGTCGGGGCTCGAGTTCCTCGGAGGCGGCAGCGTCGCTTCCTGGTCGCACCTGCAACCGGGTGGCGGGCTCCCGCACCAGGATCCGACCAGTTACGACCAGTGGAGCGGCGATTTTCGCCTGGACCTGCAGGCCACGCAACGGCTCCGGGTGGAGATGGCCGCCCAGCATTCGGAGCAGAGCAATGTCCCGCGGTATGACCGCTACGTCGATTTCCGCGCTCCCGGGTTGCCCGGCGGAGGAGTGGGCCGCAATGCACTGTACCTCTTCGAGCCGCAGGACCGGTCGCTGGCCCGCCTGAAAGGCACCCTCGCGACCGACCGACCCTGGATGTCCACGCTGGACGTACAGATGTCGTGGCAGGTTCAGCGGGAGGGGCGCGCAATCCGGGGACAGTCGATGCGCGAGGGGATCCTGACGCCGTCCGCCCGGATCAACCATGTCGCGGACGATGTGCGCTCCGTCGCGCTGGACGTACAGGCGCAGGCGATTCGCGGCGACGGCCGCGGAGGCGTCACCTATGGCCTGGAGATGTGGGACAACGTGACCCGCTCGCATGGCTGGGAGGAGGATCTGGTCACCGGCGCGGAGACCTCGTCGTTCCGATGGAGTTCCGGCGAGCCGATTTCCACGGGACGCTTTCCGGACGGGTCGCGTTTCGGCGGCGCTGCCCTGTATGCCTTTGCCGACGAGGCCTGGGGAGCCCTGCGGATACAGGTGGGCGGCCGCGCGAGCCTGTATCGGACGAGCGCCCGGGTGGGGGACTCCTACGGAGGCGATGTGGACTCCCGCTTCGGCAACGTCACCGGCGAGGCAGGCTTCGTCTACCGGGCCTCGGAGGCGGTATCGCTGCGGGCGCGGGTGGCCCAGGCTTTTCGCGCTCCCAACATCTACGATCTCACCCTGGTCGGGGATGTCCCCGGGGGCATCGCGCTGCCCAACCCGGATCTGGGCCCCGAGCATAGCTATACGCTGGAAACGGGAGCGAACTGGGCCCGGGGTCCGTGGAGGACCGAGCTGACCGTCTTTCGCATCGGCATCAACGACTTGTTGGACCGTACCTACGGCACCTTCCAGGGCCGGAGCACCCATGGACCCGACCAGCTGCCCATCCTGACCATCCAGAACATCGGTTCGGCGATTATCGACGGGATCGAGGGGACCTTTTCCGCACCGCTCCCCGCCCGGGGACGGCTGCACATGTCGGCCTCGTGGACTCTGGGCGACGCGGTGGTGGCCAGGGACGGAGTGCTTCAGGAGGAACCGCTGAGCCGGGTCCCGCCCGCGACCCTGTCGTATCGGATGCGCTGGCCGGCGTCCCGGGACGAGCGTTCGGCCTGGATCGAGTACTTTGGCAAGATGTCGGCCGCGCAGGACCGGCTCGGCTTTCGCGACCAGGTGGACAGCCGCGTCCAGGACGGAGGGACGCCCGGGTACCATGTCCACTCGATCCGGGGGGGCGCTTCATGGAGCGATCATTTGCGCGTTTCCGGCGGAATCGAGAACCTCTTCGATGAGCTGTTCCGCGTTCACGGTTCGGGAATCGACGCGCCCGGCCGCCACCTCTTCCTGCGGCTGGATGTGCGGCGCTGACCCGGCCCGTCTCAGGCGCGATCCATGATTCGAGTGACATTCCTGGGCACCTCGGCCGCCTGTCCGACCGTGCGCCGCAACGTGAGCGCCATCTCCGTGCAGCGGGAGGGCGAACTCATGCTCTTCGACTGCGGCGAGGGAACGCAGCGCCAGATGATGCGCTACGGCACCGGCTTCTCCATCTGGGCGGTGTTCATCACGCACATGCACGCGGACCACTTCGTGGGGGTGACCGGGATGCTGCGCACCATGGCGCTGCAGGGACGAAGCGAGCCCCTGCTGCTTGCCTGTCCGGTCTCCGGGCGGCGAGTGCTGGCCGATGCCGTCCACCTCGGGTTCGATCGCCTGAGTTTCCCGGTCGAGATCCGGGAAATGAGGCCCGGGGATCGGGTGCCGCGCGACGGGTACGACGTGTGCGCCTTCCGGGTGGACCACGGCATGCCCGCGCTCGGCTATGTCCTCCGTGAAGCCGATCGCCGGGGGCGTTTTGATGTGGAGAGGGCGCGCGCCTGGCCAACAATTTCTGAATGATGGCCAAGGTGGTCAACCGACTGGCTCGGTCTACGATAGCGTCCGCGGGGGCGCCGTGATCCCGTGTGAGTGAGATGGCCTGCCAGAACCTCGGCCTCGTGGAAGCGTCCAGACCGTATCCGCCGGGCGTGGTGATGATCCGGCTGAGAGCTCCATCTGAAGAGCCCACACCATGAATATATCCAGTCTCCGCCGCCTCTGACTTGTGAAAAACCGGCGAGGGACGGCCGCTTTATACTGGGCGGCGCCGAAGACGATTGATGCGTGCGGTCCGCCGGGCGGGCGTCGTCCGGTGGCTGCGCGTCGGACAGAGGCCTAGACCGCGACAGACTGTGAGATCAGGACGGAGCGCGGGAGATTAGATACCGGAAAGAAGCTTGAATGCGAACTGCTTCCATCGGCTTTCATGACTCTACAGGGAGAGGTAGTCGTACCCAGTTCTCTTTGAGGAATGGCCCTCCCGAACCAGTCAGGGCCGGTGTTTTGTTTTGTATTTTGTAGAGGTCAGGTCGAGGACGGTTGAGGGAGCCATCCCGGAGAGTCGCCGGAATCCACCACCAGCTCGATCTTGCCCCCTAGCTGCCTCACACCTCCTCCACCTGGAACGGAAGGATGTCGGACAGTTTGGCGCTGGTGCCGATGATGGGCAGGCGAACCTCTTCGATGACGCGCCGGGTGAAGGGTTGGTCTGGAATGCGCGATGCCACGTCCCCGTCCTCCGGTCACCTTCAGGGGAACTCTTTGTGCGCCGGAAGGATGAGGTGAGGGTGCCCGGCCCAAAAGCGCTCTGCGATTTGTTAGAACTCCGGTGGAATGCTGTCGCTGATGACTTGGCCTGATCCACGAATCGATCAACACCAGCAGGGCTTCCAGTCCGGCCCGCCCCTTGAGTGGAAGATTCGCTTCACGCTCGCAGGTTATAGAGGTCCGCGGATAGCGCCATAGAAGTTTCGGTGAGGGAGGGCAATCAGGTTGCCGTCGAGAATGGCTGCAGAGGCAGTCGCAAGTGCGGTTTCCTCCGAGCTTCCTTCCTGAAGTCTGATTCTTTGCGTTCGCATCAAGCTGAAAGCTAACATAAAGAGCCTGGTGGGTCAACGCGGCTGGGAGGGCGCCCAATAGCCGGGAGGTGGGGAGGACCGAGAAGCCTCCATCCGCCCGGAACGGCGCTCCGCAACTCGTCCTCCTCCCCCCCTTCCGATGCCTCGGCGCGACGCATTTGGCTGCGCCGGTTTCCCGGTGAAGGACCATCGATGAGCCCTGAAATCATCGCCTCCTCCACGAATCGAAGGATTCAGCGTCTGAGGGCTCTGATGCGCCGCTCCCCGATGGACGGCGACTCTCTGGCCGTGGTCGAGGGCCCCAAGCTGGTGCGGGAGGCCTGCGGCAGCGGTCTCGAGGTCGAGGAGATCTTTGTGGCCTCCAGCAAGCTGGCCGGCTTCGGGGAGGAGGGACTGGCGGGGAAGGCAGGGGGCCGCGCTCTGCGGGGTCTCGGACCGGCTGTTCCACGCCTTGTCCGATACCGTGACCAGCCAGGGGATTCTGGCCATCGTGCGGATCCCCCCTGCTCCGCTGGATTCCCTGCTGGCCGGGGATCCCTTTCTGCTCATTGCCCACCAGGTTCAGGACCCCGGGAACCTGGGAACGCTGGTCCGCTCGGCGGAGGCCTTCGGGGTCAGCGCGCTCCTGCTCACTACCCACACCGTCAGTCCTCTCAATCCCAAGGCCGTTCGAGCTTCCGCCGGGTCCCTGTTTCGGCTTCCCGTTGCCGGGCAGTTGGCCCCCCCATCCCTGGCCGCCCGGCTGCGCCGGAGCCGGATTCGCTTGATGGCGGCCGTGCCGGGCGGGTCAACCGACTTCAGACGGGCCGATTACCGCGGCGGCTTGGCCCTGGTGGTTGGAAGCGAAGGTCGGGGAATCCCCCCGGGTTTGGGGGCCTTCCATGCCGAAGTCCGCGTGCCCACTGCCAGAGGGGTCGATTCGCTCAATGTGGCGGCCGCGGCCGCCATCCTCTTGTGTGAGGCCGCCAGGCAGAGACTTCGTCCCTGAGACGTCCCGCACCCTCCTCCATCGACAGGTCCGTGTCAGCCGGTGTAGGATGAACTCCATGAATCTCTTCCCAGAGTTTGCCTCGCCCCGGCCGGCGCCACCGGACGAGGGAGCGCCGCTGGCCGACCGGATGCGCCCCACCCGCCTGGAGGATTTTGTGGGCCAGCAACACCTGGTCGGTCCCGGCAAACCGGTGCGCCGGCTTCTGGAAAAAGACCGGATCGGCTCCCTGATTCTCTGGGGTCCGCCGGGGACGGGAAAGACCACGCTGGCTCGCATCATCGCCCACGGCACCCGCATGGACTTTGTTCCCTTCAGTGCGGTCCTTTCAGGGATCAAGGAGATTCGGTCGGTGATGCAGGAGGCGGAGAGGAACCGGCGTTCCGGACGCCGGACCCTGCTGTTCATCGACGAGATTCACCGTTTCAACAAGGCCCAGCAGGATGCCTTTCTGCCTTATGTCGAAACCGGCGCCATTGTCCTGATCGGCGCCACCACCGAGAATCCTTCCTTTGAGGTGATTCCGGCCCTGCTCTCCCGTTGCAAGGTCTACCAACTGGAACCTCTGTCATCCGAGGAGGTGGTCCAACTGCTGCAGCGGTCTCTGACGGACGGGGAGCGTGGCATGGGGACCGAGCGGATCGAATTTCAGGAGGCCCACCTTGGCATCATCGCCGACTTCGCCAATGGAGACGCCCGGGTGGCCTACAACACCTTGGAGATTGCCGTTCAGATGGCTCCCACCGACGAAGCCGGCCGGAAGAGGATCAGCGAGCAACTGGTCAAAGATGCCATGCAGCGGCGGGTGCTTCTCTACGACAAGGCTGGAGACGAACACTACAATCTCATCTCGGCGCTGCATAAATCGCTTCGCAACAGCGACCCCGACGCCGCCGTCTACTGGCTGGCCCGCATGCTGGAGGCGGGAGAGGACCCGCTTTATATCGCCAGGCGACTCATCCGCTTTGCCTCCGAGGACGTCGGCATGGCGGACCCTCACGCCATGGGCGTGGCGGTGCAAGCCAAGGAAGCCTTCCACTTCGTTGGCCTTCCCGAAGGGAACCTGGCCTTGGCCCAGGCGGCGATCTACCTGGCCACGGCTCCCAAATCCAATGCTCTCGATCGCGCCTACGCCGCGGCCGTTAGGGACGTGAAGCACACTCTTGCCGAGCCGGTCCCCCTGCACCTGCGAAATGCCCCCACCCGACTCATGAAGACTTTGGGCTACGGGAAAGGCTACCAGTACGCCCACGATTTTGCCGATCGGTTGACCGCCATGAGCTGTCTTCCGGAGTCGCTGAAGGATCGAAGGTACTTCCAACCTTCGGGAGAGGGTTTTGAGGAAGTCATCCGCCAGCGTCTGCGCACCTGGCGGGAGAAGATGGCCGAACTCCGCCGGCCGGGGAAATCGAAGGATTCCGACTCCGGTTGAGCTGAAACAGGGGAGAGGGCCACAGCCTGGCGGCCCCCCCACCGCATCAGCCTTCGCCTGGCGGCTCGGCTTCTGCGACTCCCCCTCAAGGGGGGAGTGATACCTGAGGCCTGCATAAGGAGCTCCAGATCACTCCCCCCTTGAGGGGGAGTCGGCGAGAGGGCGGAGCCCGCAGTCGAGCCGGAGGGGGGCAAACGCCGCGCCCCGTGAGTGGAAATAAGCGTCAAGCCTGGGGGCTCCCCTACCAGTCCACCACCGAGCCGTCGTCGGCGTCGTAGGTTTCCGGATTGTGCCAGTCGTGGCCGATCTTTGAGGCCAGCGCCTCCTCGTCGATTTCGATCCCCAGCCCCGGTCCCTTGGGCAGATCGATGTAGCCCTCTTTGACCTGGAAGGGGCTCTTGAGGTAGCCCTCTCCCAGGCTCACCTGCTCCTGGCAAAGAAAATTGGGGATCGAGGCCGCAATCTGCAATCCCGCGGCCAGGGAAATGGGACCCAGAGGGTTGTGGGGGGCCAGTGTGGCATAGTGGGCCTCGGCCATTCCGGCAATCAGTCGAACCTCGGTAATTCCCCCGGCGTGGCACAGGTCGGGTTGCAGGATCGAGGCCGCTCCCTTCTCCAGAATTTCCCTGAAACCCCACTTGGTGAATATGCGCTCGCCGGTAGCGATCGGCAAATGGGTGCCCCTGGCGATATCGGCCATGACCTCCACGTTCTGGCAATTGACCGGCTCCTCGATGAACATGGGCTGGTAGGGTTCCAACGCCTTGATGAGCAGCTTGGCCGTCTGGGGGGAAATGGCCCCATGAAAGTCGATGCCGATATCTGCCCTCCGGTCCCGCGGCCTGGCGCAACTCGGCGAATTTCTCGGCCGCGTGGTCCACGAACTGCGGGGTTTCCACCGGGCGAGCCGGGCGTTTCTTGGCCGGTCCGGTCTTGAAGGCCGTAAACCCCTGCTGCATCTTGTCCTTCAAGGCCTGAGGAGTATTTGCATGGGCATACACTCGAATCCGCTGCCGGGTCGGACCTCCCAGCAACTCGTAGACGGGAACCTGCAGCGCCTGGCCCTTGATGTCCCAAAGCGCCTGGTCGACGCCGCTCAGCGCGCTGGTGAGGATCGGGCCTCCCCGATAAAAGGCATGACGGTAGATCGCTTGCCAGTGGTGGGTCACCGCTCGCGGATCCTTGCCGATCAGGTAAGTCTCCAGTTCCTGGACGGCGGTGGCGCAGGTCCGGGCGCGCCCTTCCAAAATCGGCTCTCCCCAACCGCTGATACCCGCATTGGTGTGGATCTTCAGGAACAGCCAACGTGGCTTCACCAGAAAGGTCTCCAGCTTGGTGATGCGCATGAGTTCCCGGGCGCGGGCCCTCTTGGGTCCCGAGGAAGAGGCGGCGGCCGTCGACGGCGCGCCTCCCGATTCGGCCGTTTGGGCTACCCCCAACCCGATCATTCCAGCGGTACCCTTGAGCAGAGACCGCCGGAGCAGTTTTTGGTCGTCAAGCCGTTGTTTCTTCAAGGCTCCATCTCCCGAAAAGGGACGGTTTCAGGTCAGACGCTTCAGGCAGGATCTGGAGAAACCCCGCCATTCTAGCACTTCACCGCTTCACCGGGCATCGATCACCTGCCGGATTCTCCGGAAGATGGAGTCGAACATGCTCTGGGTCAGCTTCCCGGTAAAGGTATTCTGCTGGCTGGGGTGAAACGACGCCACCAGCAGGCGGCCGCCGTCGAGGGGCGCCTCGAGGCCATGTCCGAAGCGGGGACGCCTGGTCCGGCTGTTGCCGCGGTGGAGATCCCAGACGTTATCGAAGGCGATTCGGCCCAACGCCAGCACGACCCGCAACCGAGTCAACTGCTCCCATTCGAACTGCAGGTAGGGGCGACAGTTCCGGATCTCCTGCGGGCTGGGCTTGTTGGACGGAGGAGCGCAGTGGAGGACGGCGGTGATGTAGCAGTCGATCAATCTCAGGGGATCCTGGCGGTGGGAGGATTCGGGATGGCTGGCGAAGCCATGTCGATGAAGGGCGCGATAAAGCCACTCCCCGCTTCGGTCCCCGGTAAACATGCGTCCGGTTCGGTTGGCGCCGTGAGCGGCGGGCGCCAGTCCGACCACCAACAGGCGGGCATCGGCTTGCCCCAGGCTGGGCACCGGCCGGCTCCAATAGTCCCAGTGCCGGAAGCGGGCCACCTTGTCTCGGGCGATCCGTTCCCGCCAACCATTCAAACGCGGGCACAGGCGGCAACCGGGAATCTCCGCCTGCAGGCGGCGCAGGTCGGTGATCCTGGCAAGGTCAACCCGCATTTCTCACCGGGGGTTGCACTTTTGAGAAGAGGCAGGGAGTGAGGTAAGTGTTTAGCGTCATTTTGGAGAGGCAGTGCGTTTCGGGACGATGGTACAAAGTCGCCGCTGCGGCAGCGCGGGGTCCACACAACCCCGGGCTTACGCCCGGGGCTAACTGCTGTCGTGGCTGCGCCGCTCTATAAGGAAGACCTGTAGGACAGGTTTCCTCGGCTGACCTGGGCCGACCGCGGCTTCGCCGCTCTCCCCTGAACCAAGACACTGCCCGGGCCCTAGCCCGCATTTCTCACCAGGACGCTGAGCAAAAGGCAGAAAAGTGCTTGTCTTTAACTTCATTGCGGCGCTTGGTTTGGAGTCTTCAGGGTACAGACGGTGCTGGGCGCGCCCTGGCTTGTCTTTTCCGCTTCAGCGCGCACATGCTCCCTTGAATGGTGTTCCGGCTACGCCCTTCGGTCACGAGCACGCCCTGAAGCGGAAAATCCTGCGCCAAGTTGCACTCTTGAGAAGAGTGCAACCCCCTGGTGAGAAATGCGGGCTAGCCCGGGGTTCCGGTAAGCCGTGAAGGCGGCGTCCGCATTTAGCCGTGGGCGTAAGCCCATGGAATAGGGCAACTCCAAGCCCCGAGCCGCGTAGGCGGCGGCAGCAATCATCCCTGGTGTTCGATCTCAAATAAGCCAGAGCGCACCCAGCGCAGTCTGTACCCGCATGCTTTCAAAACAATGCCAATAAGGCACTGAAAATAAGCTGTCTTCCATTATGTATCCAGCGACCCGGTGAGAAATGCGGGTTAAGCCCGCATTTCTCACCGCGGGGCGTGATCATGGCCGCGGCAACGGAGTTGAAGGAGGTGAGGACAAACCCTGGCCGGGTCCCCCGGTGAGCTGAGAGGGGTATTCGCTGCCCGGCAGGTCCACCCAAAAACAAAACGCCCTGAAGCCGAACCGGCTTCAGGGCGGGAATACCACGTCTTGACGGAATACAGTCTTATGTGGCCGTGTCTTCTTCGTCGGCTCTGACCACTTCCTGTGCCTGCAGACCCTTGGGTCCCTGCACGACCGTGAACTCCACCGACTGGCCTTCTTCCAGGGTGCGGTAGCCCTCGGACTGAATCGCGCTGTGGTGGACAAAGACGTCGCCACCCTCACTGCGCTCAATAAAGCCGTAACCCTTCGAGTTGTTGAACCATTTAACTTTTCCGGTCTCTTTACTCATGGACTTCGAGGCTCCTTTCGAATCATTGGGAAGGTGTCGTAGATGTTTTTACAACTTGAAGAAGCCTCGAAAAAAAAGGAGCCTGCAGACAACCGGACCGCCAGAGAGAGCAACCTCATTTTCGACATGCTTGCAATCTCAAATCCCTAAAAACATTACAACAGGTGCGAAAGTATACGGAAACCACCGAGGCTGTCAAGATTTTGATTGCCTCAGTTTGAAATTTGTGGGTTATAGGGACCGGGCTGACCTGGCTTCGTTTCTCTCGCGTCTATCAAACCAACAATCCACTCAACATTGCGGAGTTTCCCCCATAATGCTTGCGACCATGGCCGGTGGAGTCCACAGTGTCTTATGAATCCGGCGGAAGTTTTAAGGGACGAAATCGAATGCCAGCATGTGCACGTGATTTGCCAGTCGCTTTCCACGGAAAGCGTCGCGGTTCCGATGGAGCCAGCAGGCAGCTTACTGGGGCCTGTTGACCGGCATGTCACCGCTCCTCTCCTGAGATGCGCGAACATGTTTCAACTCAAAGCCCCTTGCAAATACGTACGCCACCAGCGTCACCACAAAGACCACAAGGAGCATCCAGGCAATGCCCTGGAGCGTCTCGATGATGGTCCGATAGACCTCCAAGGTCCACCGCTCCGACGTGAGGATCAGAATCTCTTCATCCTTCTGGGGTGCCGAGATATACCGTTCCAACTGGTGGATGCGAACGCCTGACGAGATGCCGACAACGTACGCCGCGAACTTGATGTAGCGGTGCCATGCCCCGCTCAAATCGTCCGCTACGATCCGATGGAGTATTGACGCTATGGGCCGGTCAAAGAGTCGCACCACACCATACGACACCGCCAAAGCAATAAAGAAAGTGATGACCAGTAGTGTGAAGAACATAAATTCCTGAAACTTCTCAGTGAGGACTTCCGTGTTGATATACGACGATGGTTTCCGTGTCAACGACAAAGGATTTCAAACTGAGACACTGCCAGGATTTTTGGCTTTGAAGGTGATCTTCTTGGAACTGTCGACCTCTAGCCCGCATTTCTCACCGGGTCGCTGGATACATGATAAGAAGTAGTTTGTCTTCAGCAGGTTGATTGGCCCCATTTTAGGGGCATGTGGGTTCAGAATGCGCTGGCGCGCTCTGGCTTGTCCTTTTTCCCTCAGCGCGCACAGGCTCGCTCGACCGTAGTGACCGCTACGCTCTTCGCTCGCGAGCACGCGCTGAGGGAAAAATTCCTGCGCCATGGTCACGCCCCCCGGTGAGAAATGCGGGCCAGGAACGGCGCTTTCTACACGTCCTACACTACGGACAGCTTGGCGATCAGCGAGAAGAGCGGCAGGTACATGGAAATGACGATCCCGCCGACCAGCAGGCCCAACAGCAGTATTAGCAGAGGCTCCAGGGCGGTCAACAGATCGGAAACGGCCGCATCGACCTCGTCTTCATAGAATTCGGCCAGCTTGGTCAACATGGTGTCCAGGCCGCCCGTCTGCTCCCCGACTCCCACCATCTGAGTGACGATGGGAGGGAATACCTGGGAATCCCGGAGGGTCTCAGCCATGGCCTTTCCCTCCTGGATGGCGCTCCGCGTTTTGAAGACGGCTTCCTCCACCACGGCGTTGCCCGCCGTCCTGGCCGTAATGGCCAGAGATTCCAGGATCGGCACCCCGCCTGAAAGAAGCGTGGCCAGGGTCCTTGAGAACCGGGAGATGGCGATCTTTCGCATCACGCCTCCCAGAATGGGAATTTTCAGTAAAGCCCGGTCCAGGGTCCGGCGGCCCCCTGGGGTCGCGTAGTACCGCCTGAAGGCATAGCCGAGGCCGAAGCCACCGATCAGCAGGAAGGGAATGGAATGGCCCACCAGGTGGCTGGCGGCGATGACCACCTGGGTCGGCCAGGGAAGGGCGGCCTGGAGACTGGCGAAGAGGGTGGCGAAGACGGGGACCACCTTCCACAGAATCAGAAGCACGATTGCCAGGGCGACGGCCATGACCACGGCCGGATAGACCATGGCGGACACCACGGCGCGCTTCAACTTGACGGCCTTCTCAATGTAGGTGGACAGTCTCCGGAGAATGGTGTCCAGGATTCCTCCGGCCTCTCCCGCAGCCACCATACTGCTGTAGAGGGGATCGAAGACCCGGGGGTGTTGCTCCAGTGCAGACGCCAGGGAAGCTCCGCTCTCGACGTCCTCCCGCACCGTCTGCAACACGCTTTGGAAGGCCCGGTTCTCCTGCTGCTGGCCCAGGGATTCCAGGCACTGCACCAGCGGCAGGCCGGCGTCGATCATGACCGAGAATTGCCGGGTGAAAACCGCCAGCTCTTTGGGCTTGACTCGGCCGCCGCTTCGGAACAAGGCTCGCTGCCTGCCTTTTTCCTTGATCATCAGGGGCTTGACCTGCTCTCTCCGCAGCATGTTCGCCAGCGCCTGCCTGGAGGCGGCCTGGCGTTGGCCGCGCACTTCGGTGCCCGCCCGGGATCTTCCACGATAGAGGTATACCGGCATCGATTTCTCCTTAAGCATCGAGTATCTTCGAGCGGGTTAACCCGGGGCGCCGGGGTGGGTCCGTCGGGCGGTTCGGGTGGCGGTCCCGGCCGGTGTGCCGGCCGACGGCCCCGCGGCGGTTCCCGGTCCGGGTGCAGCCGGGGTCCCCCGGTCGAGCATCTGACGCAGCTCGTCCGGGTTGCTCGAGTATTCCAGGGCCGTCTGGCGTCCGATCTGTCCGGCCCGGAACAGACCGGCCAACGATTGGTTGAAGGTCTGCATTCCATACTTTCCCCGGCCCATCTGCATGACCGATTCCAGTTGGTGCACCTTGTCCTCCCGGATCAGGTTGCGGATGGCCGAATTGGGCACCATGACTTCCATGGCCAAGGCCCGGCCCGCACCATTGGCCCGGGGCAGGAGGGTCTGGCAGGCGATGCCCTCCAACACCAGGGACAACTGGGCGCGGATCTGGGACTGCTGGTGGGCGGGAAAGACATCGATGACTCGATGGATGGTGGAGGCTGCCGAACGGGTATGCAGGGTTGCCAGGGTGAGGTGCCCGGTCTCCGCGATCCGCAGGGCCGCTTCCATCGTCTCCAGGTCGCGCAACTCGCCAATGAGCACCACGTCGGGGTCCTGGCGCAAGGCCGCCCGCAAGGCCGCCGCAAAGGACCGGGTATCGGAGTGAACCTCCCGCTGGTTGACCAGACAGTTCCTGTGGTCGTGCAGGAACTCGAGAGGATCTTCAATGGTCAGAATATGGGAGTGGCGGTCGCAGTTGATCCGGTCGATCATGGCCGCCAGGGTGGTGGACTTTCCGCTGCCGGTAGCCCCCGTCACCAGGATCAGGCCCCGGTTTTTTCTGCAGAATGTCTTCAGAACCGCCGGCAGATTGAGGTCGTCGAAGCTGCTGACCTGGTAGGGAATGCCTCGAAAGACGGCCCCCAGGACGCCCCGCTGGTTGAAGCAGTTGCCTCGAAACCGGGCCAGCCCTCCAATGCCAAAGGAGAAGTCGAGCTCCAGATGTTCTTCCAGGTGCTGCTTCTGGTGGGGGGTCAGTACGCTGTAGGCCAGCCTCCGGGTATTCTCGGCCGTCAGGGACGGAAATTCCGTCAGAGGGCGGAGGCGTCCGTCCACCCGGACCTGGGGATGAGTACCGGCGGCGAGGTGGAGATCGGACCCTCCCAATTCAGTCATCCTCTTCAGGAGCTCAGCCAGTGAAGGGGTGTGCATGGGTTCCCCCGGGGAAAAACCAGGGCTGGTCCGCGACCGGTTGCGGAAGGGGAGAGAGGCGTCTACTTGACAGTCTCCCTCAGGACCTCTTCCAAGGTGGTGAGGCCATCGCGGATCTTTTGCAGCCCACTGGCCCGCAGGGTGATCATCCCACCCTGGATGGCCTTCTGCTTGAGCTGGGCGGAAGACCCGCCCCTCAAAATGAGTTCCCTGAGGCCGTCACCGATCTCCATCACTTCAAAGAGTCCCACCCGTCCCTTGTAGCCCGTGTGGTTGCAGGCGTCGCAGCCTTGGCCTCGATAGGTGAGGATCTCCTGGGCTTCGGAGGGGGCGAGACCCGCTTCGATGAGGGCTTCAACCGGAGGGTCGTCTGCTTGCTTGCATTGGCGGCAGATGCGGCGGACCAGCCGCTGGGCACAGATCAAATGGACCGAGGTCGCCACCAGGAAGGGCTCCACCCCCATATTGGTGAGGCGGCTGACGGTGGAAGCGGCATCGTTGGTGTGCAGAGTGCTGAGCACCAGGTGGCCGGTCAGGGCCGCCTTGATCGCGATCTCGGCCGTCTCCGGGTCTCGGACCTCGCCCACCAGCACAATGTTGGGGTCTTGGCGCAGGAAGGCCCGCAGGGCGGTGGCGAAGGTCAATCCGATCTGCTCCTTTACCTGAACCTGGTTGATCCCCGGCAGGTTGAACTCGACAGGGTCCTCGGCCGTCAGGATATTGGTGTCCGTACGGTTGAGGCGTGTGATCGAGGAGTACAGGGTGCTGGTCTTGCCGCTTCCAGTGGGCCCCGTCACCAGCACCATACCGTAGGGCTTCAGGATGGCCGACTCGAACCTCCGCAGGGTTTCCGGCTCGAAACCCAGTTGGGTCATGTCCAGCATGAGGCGGTCCCGGTCGAGCAGCCGCAGAACCACCTTCTCGCCGTGCAGGGTCGGCAGGACCGACACTCGCAGGTCGAGGTCCCCGACCCGGCCCTCCTTCTTCATCCTGATCTTCATGCGGCCATCCTGCGGGAGGCGCTTTTCCGAGATATCCAACTTGGCCATGATCTTGATTCTGGAGGTCACGGCGTCTTTCAGGCTCAGGGGAGGGGTCATGACGGTGCTCAGGAGACCGTCGATGCGAAAGCGCACCCGAAGCTCCTGCTCGTAGGGCTCGATATGGATGTCACTGGCCCCCTGCTTCAGGGCGCTGGACAGAATCCGGTTGACCAGCTTGACGACGGGGGCTTCCTCGTCGGCCTGCCCCGAGTTTCCCGGGGCGATGGGTCGGTCAGTGGCGCTGCCCATCCCGGGCTCGCTCCCGGCCGGCTGTCCGCTCTCGACGGTGGCGCCCGCACCCCCCTGCTTGAGCTCCGGGGTCGGTCCGGCGCCGTAGTACTTGTGAATGGCCTCCCGGATGGCGGACTCGGCGACCACGACCGGTTCAATGGTGAAGCCCGTCATGAACTGCAGGTCGTCCATGGCGAAGACGTCGGTGGGATCGATGGTGGCGATGGTCAAGGTGGAGCCGGCCCGGCTCAGCGGCAGAACCTGGTATTTCCGCGCCGTCTCCAGCGGAATGAGCTTCACGATCGAGGGGTCAACTTCGAAGAAGGGGAGGTTGATGGAGGGCAGGCCGAACTGGCGGCAGATGATGGCGCTGATGTCCTCGCCGGTGACCCACCCCAACTGAATCAGGCAATACCCCAGGCGGCCTCCATGGACCCTCTGATACTCCAGGGCCTTCCCGAGTTGCTGCCGGGTGATGAGGTTTTCTCTGACCAGCAGGTCACCGAGTTTTGCTGCCATGGATCAAGACTCTCCCAGGCGCACCCGCGCCAGCGGACGCAAGGAACGGGATTGGGAAGGGTGGTGAACTGAGGGAGCTTGATGGCCTTCATGTTAGTGGGGAAGCCCGCCTTTGTCAAGGGGATGGCGGGAGCCGGAGGGGGGGAACGCGGCGTCCTGTGAGTGACGATCAGAGGCACTACCGGCGGCAAGGTGGCGGGTATTGGTTGGCCCCCCCCACCGCATCAGCCTTCGCCTGCGGCTCGGCTTCTGCGACTCCCCCTCAAGGGGGGAGTGATACCCGCGGTACAAACCGGGGACGTCGTTTACACTTTGGACTGAGAACATGGTTTACATCATGCCAAGGAATCGGGCAAGAAGCCTTGTGCAGGCCTCAAGAATCACTCCCCCCTGGAGGGGGAGTCGGCGAGACAAGGGCGCAGCCTGCAGTCGAGCCGGAGGGGGGAACACCCCGTCCCGTAAGTGAATTCCAGTGGGGGGCAGCAACGCGTTGGTGGCACCGGTGTGGCGCCCGCTTCACAGCTACTCCAGCGAGTTGTAGAACTGCGACGCCTCCGCCTTCAGGCTTTCCACCGCGGCTTGGACTGGGCCAGCTCCCGGCCTTCGGCCATGATCCTCAGCAAGGGTTCGGTGCCGGAATAGCGCACCACCATGCGGCCGGAATCCGACAGTTGCGCCCGGGCGTTGCCAATGAGGGCCAACAGCTCGGGGGACTGCTCAATGGGGATCTTGCGGGACACCCTGAGGCCGTCGAGAACCTGCGGAAAGGGCCGGTATCCGGCAACCAGGTCGTCCAGGCTCAGGCCGCGGCGAACCAGCAACTCCGCCAGCTTGACCGCTGTCAGGATGCCGTCTCCGGTGGTATGCAGGTTGCCCAGGATGATGTGTCCCGAGGGTTCGCCTCCCAGGACGGCTCCCGAGGTCCGCATGGCCTCCAGGACGTACTTGTCTCCCACCGGAGTGCGAATCAAGGGGATGCCTTCCCGGATCAGGGCCTTTTCCAGGGCCAGGTTGGTCATGATGGTTCCGACCACCTTGCCGCTGGCCAATGTCCCCTTGGCTTTCCAGTCCCTGGAGAGGGCATAGAGGAAATGGTCCCCGTCCAGCCATTTTCCGCTGCCGGTGACACAAAGGACCCGATCGGCGTCCCCGTCAAAGGCCACGCCCAGGTCCAACGAGTTGGCTTCAACGGCCCGGGTCAGGCCCTCCAGGTGCAGCGATCCGCAGTTGCGGTTGATGTTTCGACCGTCCGGCCGGTCGTTGATGACGGTGACCTCGGCCCCCAGCCTGTTGAACAGCCGAGGCCCGATGACGCCGGCGGCGCCGTTGCAAACGTCCAGGCCCACACGCAGCGGCTCCAGGCCGCTCCCGGCTTGCCGGCTCAAGAAGTCGAGGTAGTCCGCCGCCAGCGACTCCCGCTTGTCGGGTCCTGCTGAGCCCCGGCAGGCCGAGACCGCCGGGGTGTTCCTCCAGGACTCGATGCTTCGCTCGATCTCCAGCTCCCGGTCATCCGATATCTTGAAGCCCTGTCCCGAAAACAGCTTGATCCCGTTGTCCTGGTAAGGATTGTGGGAAGCGGAGATCATGATCCCCAGATCGTAGCCGCGAGCCCGGGTCAGGTAGGCCAGGCCCGCGGTAGGGATCACTCCCAGGTCGTGAATGGCGGCGATGCCCCGATAAGCGAGGGCCTGGCTCAACCGGCCTGCAATCCAGGGGCTGGATTCCCGCGTATCTCTGCCGATCAGGACCCGGCTGCCGCCCTGAGTTCCCACGAACTCGGCCAGCGCCAGGCCGATGGCGCAAACCGTCTCCTCGTCCAGAGGAAAGCGGCCAGCCACCCCCCGGATTCCGTCTGTCCCGAACAGCTTTCTCATGGGGTATCTCTGTGCTTCAGGGGACCTTGCCCGTCCGCCGGAATTTCCAGCGGCTCGATGGCCACTTCGACTTCCACCCGGCGGCCCTGCGGAAAGCGAACCACCCCGTCTTCCGCATCCAGATAGACCCGAGCCACGAAGTCGGTCGAACGACCCGTGATGTCGACGCCTTCGGTGGTCACTCGCGTCATGGCGGACACGCGCCCTCCCGGACCTTCCACCAAGACCCGCTTGGGGCGGGGAGTCACCGACCGGAGCCGGTAGCCCTCGCCCACCTGGCCCACGATTCGGGGGTCGATTTCGACCTCCTTGCTCACCGTTGGCTGCAGGTTGAGCCGCACCGTGGAGGGTGTGATATGGGTGACCGTGACCCCCTGCGGCCTGGAGATGTCATCGGGAGTGATCGAGTAGACCCGTTCGCCGGGTTCGGCGTTGGCAAGGTCGATGTGGACGGACATGTCGGAGGATTCCAGCTTGTCCAGGATGCTGGAAGGAGCTCTCAGTCGGACATCCACCGAGCCGGCAGGATTGTCTACCAATTCCAGGTGTGTGGGCATCAGGTATTGAAGACTGATCTTGAACCCGAGCTCCCCCACAAAACGGGGTTCGCCGTTGAGAGCGGCCCACAGCAGCAGCGCAAGGCCCAGCGAGGCGAGCTTCAACCCGGCGTTATCGAGCAGAATACCTGTCAGGATCTTCCAATATCGGCTCATTTGCCTTCCGCGACCGGGGAGAGTTGGGATGCGGGCGCCGCCGGCGCCGAGTCGGCAACCGCAAAGATGCTGGCCAAATGCTGGCGCAGCGACGGCCCGTCCAGGTTTCTTTGAATGTCGCCGCCCACTACGGTGGAGATGATTCCAGTCTCTTCAGAGACCACCACCACCACGGCGTCCGACTCTTCAGTGACGCCGATGGCTGCCCGATGTCGGGTCCCCAACTTCTTGCTCAGACTGGGGTTGAGGGTGAGGGGCAAAAAGCAGGCAGCCGCCGTGATCCGATCCTTTTGCACGATAACGGCTCCGTCGTGGAGGGGAGCCCCCGGCGAGAAGATGCTCACCAGCAGATCGTAGGAGAGCGCGGCATCGACGGCCACGCCGCTCTCCATATAGTTCTTGAGTCCCATCTCGCGCTCGATGACGATCAGTGCCCCGACGCGTTGGGTGGAAAGGGCGGTAGCCGCCAGCACGATCTCATCGTAGGCCCCCATGACCGGATTTGGGGAGAATTTTCTCAGCAGCGGGTTTTTGCCGATGTTGGCCAGAGCCCGGCGAATCTCAGCCGCGAACAACACAATGATCCCGACCACGAAATAAGGAAGAATGGTGGTCATGATCCATTGAACGGTCTCCAGGTTGAACCAGAGGGTCACGTAATAGAAGAGCACCAGAAATCCCACTCCGAGCGCCATTTGAACCGCGCGCGTCCCGCGGATCAGCAACAGGACGTGGTAGATCAGAATGCTGACGATGAGAATGTCGATGGCCGAGGACCAGGTGAGCCGGTCCAGGTGGAAAAGTTCGATCAGATTCATAGCGACCTAGCAGGAAACCCCATTATAGCATCACACAATTGGACCACTTGGCGGGTCTCCCGAACGTCGTGGACGCGGAGGATATGAGCCCCCTGGATCACGGCAAAGGCTGCGCTGGCAAGGCTTCCCAACAGCCGTTGCTCCACCGGCAGGTTCAGCAGGTTGCCGATGAACGATTTCCGGGAAGGACCCACAAGAATGGGTAGGCGAAACCGTTTCAACACCTCCAGTCGCCGCAGCACCACCAGGTTGTCTTCCACGCCTTTGCCGAACCCCAGCCCGGGATCCAGGACGATCCGATTCTTGGGAATTCCCCCCTGGAGGGCTTTTTCCACCGAGTGCCGCAAGCCCAGAAGCACCGACTGGAGGGGACGCTTCAGTGCAGGCAAACCATGGAGCCTTTCCGGGCTGCCGCGGGAATGCATGAGCACCACGGCCGCACCGGCATCAGCGGCGCAGGCGGCCATACGGGGGTCGAAGCGCAGTCCGCTGATATCATTGACCACCGAGGCACCGGCCGCGATGGCGCCACGAGCGACCTCTGACTTGTAAGTGTCCACCGAGAGGGGGACGGTCAGACGCCTGGCCAACTGCTCGATGACCGGGACCACCCTGCGGATCTCCTCGGTTGCGGGGACTGAACCGGGACGGTCCGGACGGGTCGATTCCCCTCCCACATCCACCAGGTCCGCTCCCTGGTCTTCCAGTTGCAGGCCACGCTTGACCGCCTGGTCGGTTCTCAGGTAGGTCCCGCCATCGTAGAAGGAGTCAGGGGTTACATTCAGAATTCCCATGATCAGGGTCTTCTGACCCAACTCCAGAGTGCCGTTGGGTAGTTTCAGGCGGAAACGGGATCTCATGGGTGTCCCTGCCGGCCGCCGCCGGCTTGTGTTATGGGGGCCGGTCCGATGGAGACTCTCCGCTGCTGCCGGCGCAACCGATCCGAACGGGTCCAAAGGCAACTGGAACTGAGAGGAAACAGACGGAGGAGACGGGACCGGCTGCCGGGTCCGGCGTTGCCGGCGGTCGGGGGCCGCCAAGGCAAAGACGGAGACTAGGCGGGCGCCGGCTTTTCTCGCTGCTTGTCGACCAAGGGTGCAACAGGCGGGGAGACGGATTGCTTTTCCCTGGGGTTTTCCGGCTGGGGAGGGCCGGGGTCTTCCCGGGAGAGCGAGTCCACCTTCTCCTCCAGCGGGAGGTTCTGGATGACCATTCGCACCTCGTTGGCGTCCAGAACTTCTCGCTCCAGCAAGGCCTCCGCGATGCGAATCAGGGTGTCGCGGTTTTCCTCCAGGATCTTTCGAGCGTGCTGGTACCCCTCGTTTACGAACCGCTTGATCTCATGGTCAATCTTGATCGCCGTATCTTCGCTGTAGTCGCGGTGCTGGGCGATTTCCCTTCCCAGAAAAATCTGCTCTTCCCGCTTGCCGAAGGTCAAGGGGCCCAGTTGGGACATCCCAAAGTCGCACACCATGCGGCGGGCCATTTCCGTCGCTTGCTCGATGTCGTTGCCCGCGCCGGTGGTCATGTGTTCCAGAAACAACTCCTCGGCCACGCGCCCACCCATCATGATGGCGATCTGGCTTTCCAGGAAGACCCGGGTGTAGGTGTGCTTGTCATCCTCCGGGAGTTGCATGGTCACACCCAGGGCCATCCCCCGCGGGATAATGGTGACCTTGTGGAGCGGTCGGCCTGGGGAAGCATGGTCGCCACCAGGGCATGACCGGCTTCGTGATAGGCGGTGTTCCGTTTTTCGGCATCGCTGATGATCAGGGACTTTCGCTCCACACCCATCAGGACTTTGTCCTTGGCGCTCTCGAAATCCAGCATGGTGACCGACTGTTGATCGTACCGGGCGGCGTTGAGCGCGGCTTCGTTGACCAGATTGGCCAGATCGGCCCCTGAAAAACCGGGGGTGCCGCGAGCCAGAACCGAGACATTCACATCCTCCGACAGGGGGATTTTCTTGGTGTGGACTTGAAGGATGCCTTCCCGCCCCTTCACGTCGGGACGAGGCACCGTCACCCGGCGATCGAATCGTCCGGGGCGCAGCAGGGCCGGGTCCAGCACGTCGGGGCGGTTGGTGGCCGCAATGAGGATCACACCCTCGTTGGACTCGAACCCGTCCATCTCGACCAGCAACTGATTCAGGGTCTGCTCGCGCTCGTCGTGCCCCCCGCCCAGGCCCGCGCCCCGGTGACGGCCGACCGCGTCGATCTCATCGATGAAGACGATGCAGGGGGCATTTTTCTTGCCCTGCTCGAACAGGTCTCTCACCCGGGAGGCACCGACGCCCACGAACATCTCTACGAAATCGGAGCCGCTGATGGAGAAGAAGGGAACACTGGCCTCGCCGGCGATGGCACGGGCCAGAAGCGTCTTGCCCGTGCCCGGTGGCCCGACCAGCAGGACCCCTTTGGGAATCCGGCCCCCCAGTTTCTGAAATTTCTGGGGGTCCTTCAGGAATTCGATGATTTCCTGAAGCTCTTCCTTGGCTTCCTCGGCGCCGGCTACATCCTTGAAAGTGACTTTCTTCTGTTGGGAGGACAGCAGCTTGGCCCGGCTCTTCCCGAAAGAAAGGGCCTTGTTGCCGCCGCTCTGCATCTGCCGCATGAAGAAGATCCAGATTCCGATCAGCAGCAGAAAGGGGGCATAGGTGATCAGAGCGGTCAGCCAGGGACTCTGTGAACGCTCCTTGGCTTTGATGGCGACGTTCTTGGCCAGCAAGCGGGGGATCAAATCCTTATAGTCGGGAGCAACGGTTGTGAAGGAAGTATTGTCTTTGGTCTTTCCTTTGACCTTGCTTCCCACAATCTCCACTTCCTGCACGTTGGCCTGCTCCACTTGGTGGATAAACTCCGAGAAGGTCCACTCCCTTTCCTCGTCGGAGCCGCTGCGCTGAACGAATTGCCACAGGACGACGCCCAGGAGAACCAGGCCGATCCAGAACAACAGTGTCTTTGCCATCGCAATGAAAGGCGGCGGTACCGTCGAGTCGGCACGACCGGGGGGGCAGGTCAGACCTGACTCCTATCCCGGTTCGTTCGCCTCCGCACCGACAGCGCCTCACTCCAGGGAGCGTTCCAAGGTGTCGAACGGTGCCATTTCTTCCATCCAGCGCCAGGCTGGCTCTGCACCGCCCGTCCCCGCCAGGGGCAGTCCTGACACCAACAAGATACCATTTCGCCGTGGAATTTACGAATCAAATCTGTCCGGGGGGGTACCGTAAAGGCAAAAGAATCTTGGACTAAGCCGGCTTCTCCCCCTCAGGGGAGCCGTGATCCGGCAGCCTCCTGCCCGCTATTTTAGGGGTCCTGTGGCGGTCCGATCACTCAGAAAGGGCCGCCGGGTTGCGGCCGCTTTCGAGCGCCCGTTCCTCGATCACCACTTTGACCGAAGCCTGCGAGGACCGGCGCCACTCGGCGCCGGCAGCCACCGGAAAACCTCCGGCACAGACAATCTTGCCGCTGCAGGTCACCACCGGCCAACCGGCCCTTGCCCTCAATCCAATCCGCTTTCTCAGGAACAATTCCTTGATTTTCTTGGGTCTCAACGACCCGAGAGGTTGGTAGGCGTCGCCAGCCTGCCAGGATCTGACCTCCAGCCCCCGAGCCAGGGCCTGGGGCGACAGGTAGATTTCCCATCGATCCAGCAAGGGCCGGCCGCTGGATCCCTGGTTCAGATAGGTTTCAAAAACCAGCCCGGCTTGATGCAGCCGGACCTGCCCGGGAATTCCGAGCGGGAAGCGGTAGGAGTCAACGGAGGGAGAAGCCGGCAGCTCCCGGAAGAGCAAGCGGTCAAACTCCCTGCTGGCTTCAATCCGGCCGACCCGTATCGACTTGCCGCTCTTGCGGTCTTGCAGCAGTTCCAGGACCGCATCCACCTGCTTCTTCAGCACCGGTTTGCCAGGGTCCAAGGTAGCGACGGCATGACGCACCAAGTGGCTTCTCAGTCCCGGAGGAAGCGTGTTCAACCAGCTCCGCCGCCAACTGATCCGGCCCTCCGACCGGTCGGCTTGGCGGCCGGCCAACTCCCCGACCAGCCAGTCCAGGCTTTCCGCGTCTCCGCGTAGATTCTCGGCCGTCCTCGCCAGAACTTCCACGATTCCTGGATTGAAGGCTTTCTCCAACCAGGGAATGAGTTCATGCCTCACCCTGTTGCGTGAGAACCGCAGGTCCCGGTTGGAGGCATCTTCCCGCCACCCGACCCCGCGGGAGCGCAGATAGGTCCGAAGATCCTCCCGCTCAATCGACAGCAGGGGCCTGATGAAGCGATCGCCGCGGGAAACGGGAATCGCCGCCAGACCCAGGGAGCCGCTGCCCCTCAACAGCCGCAGCAGCACCGTTTCCGCTTGATCGTTCCGGGTATGTCCCAAGGCGATCCGCCGCGCGCCCAGGGAATCTCCGATCCTTTGAAGGAACCGGTACCGCTGCTCCCTGGCCCAGGCTTCGGCGTTTCCGCGCCTGGGACGCTCCGGGGGGGGCAGTTTTTCCACGATGCACGGAAGGTGGCAGCCTGCGGCCAGGGAGCGCACGAATTCGGCGTCGGCTTCGGATTCCCTGCCCCGAAATCCATGGTTCAGGTGCGCCACCGCCAGCTCCAGATCGAGCTGGGGGCAAATCTCGAGAAAAAGGCACAGGAGAGCGGTTGAATCGGCTCCCCCGGAGAGAGCCAACAGCACTTTGTCCCCCGGAGCCACCAGTTGCCGGCTTCGGATCAGGCGCACGAAGTTCTGGAAGATCATTAACCCGCATTTTTCACCGGGGGGTGCGATCATGGCGCCGGATTTTGTCCTTCAGCGCGTGCTCGCGAGCGAAGAGCGTAGCCGGAACACCATTCGAGGGAGCATGTGCGCGCTGAAGGAAAAAAGACAAGCCAGGACGCGCCCAGCACCGGGGGTAACTGCAAACCTTCAAAACACCAACAAACCGTCAAAACACCAACAAGTTGTTAATAACAAAAGGTCTTTGCAGGATGTATCCTGCGACCCGGTGAGAAATGCGGGTTAAGGCCCCGCGTCAGCTTTCCGGGGACAGGCGCAGCAGTACCGTGTCAACCCATTGGGGATTGATTTCAGCTTCGCCCCGCAAAGGGGTCAGCTCCTCGGCGCCAGCCCGGCACCAGGACTCGACGAAACGATTCAGGACCTCCAGCCTGCCGTTTTCTTTTCCCAGTTCGGCCAGACGCGTGCGGGCGACCTCGCCCAGACCATCCGCCAGGAGCCGGGGATCAGTCCCGGCTGGCGCCAGTTTTTTCAGCCCGCTTTGGAGCTGCCGGACGCTGATGGGCTTGGGCCTGAAGGGTTTTCCCAGGGCCTGGTTGAGAGCTGCGGTCACAAAGAGCGTTCCAAAGCGCAAATCGTTCAGATCCTGGTTCACCTGCCGGAGGGACTCCGGCTTCAGCTCGGGGCCGGGTCCGATCACCAGTTTCCAGAAGTTCTGAGCCAGAACCTCGATCTCGTTCAGGCCCCGGCGAGCCGACTCGACATCGGCCAAACCGCGGAAGTTACGAAAACCAGGCCGCTTCGGGTCCCGAATGCCTTCGAAGAAAAGGGGCTTGTGACGGCGCAACCCGTCCAGGAATTCGGCCTGCGGCGATTCCAGCAGGGTTCGCTTGGCTCCGTCCAGACGGAGACGCTCCCGGTGAACGACTCGGTCGGCTTGGGTGCGCAGGTCCGCCAGCAGGCTGAATCCTGTCCGGAACAACCCCAGCATGTCCTGTTGCTTCAGCGCTGACGCTGCCAGGGAGGTGCGCCCTTGAGTCAGTCGCTCCAGACCCAGGTTCAGCGTATCTCTCATTTCTTCCAGGGCTGGCTTTACTTTCCCAAGATCTCCGGTAGTCACGCAGTGAACCGAGAGAATCCGATTGGCCAGGGCAGCCAGTTGCCGGCCGATCAGTTCGGCCTGGCGGCCGTCCCGGATGGCCCCCAGGGCTCTCCAGAGGTGTTCTCCCGGCGCCAGCGAGGCAACCAGCAGGGCTGGCAGCGTCGAGGAAATCCGATGGGCTTCATCCTCTTCTTCCGGAGCCCCTTGGAGGCGCGGAGCCGAGGTCCCGCCGACCTCCTGGTAAATACTCAAGGCCTCGTAGTAGTCCACGAAGCCGATCTCTTCCAGGCGGAGCCGTTTGTTCTGGTAGGCTTCCTCCTCCATGGAGACCCGGTTGTCCCAGCGCACCCGGTCGATCAGGTCGTACCCCAGGGAGGGATCCACCCGGAAGATGGCGTCCAGCAGCAGGCGGGCCATGGTTGCCACGTCGGCTTCGCCGGTGACCTCGATTCCGAACCGTTGATCGGGCGTCAGAATGAAGGGTAGATCCGGGTAAGGCTCGTCTGTTTCCAAAAAGTGGATCCGGGTATTGTCCTTCAGGAAGAGCGCCAGCAGGTTGGGGTCCATCGCTCTGGCGGTCGCGGCCGCCTCTTCCGGCCCGCATTGCATGTAGGCTGCCATCCATTCCATGAAATTGGCCAGGTGAAAGCTGTCTTTTCGCCAACAGTCCAGGTCGATGAAGCCGCAGCGCTGCACTGAAGTGGCCAGCAGCAGCAGTTCCTGACTGTCGGCCAGACCGACCGTCTTGATGGCCAGAAACAAATCCTGGTAGGAAGCGCTGCGAACTCTCTCGGCTGAATCGGGCCTGGCCAGGAACGCATCCAGGTCGGACCGGTCGCCGATTCGGAGCGATCCGGAGAGGAGATCGGCCAGGGGTTGATTGGACCTCGGATTTTCGAACTTCATCGTCCTGTCGTTGGATTCCACAAAAGCAAAATGGCCGGAAACCGACCGTTTTCCGGGGTTGCCGGCCCCAGCCCGCATTTCTCACCAGGTCGCTGAGCATAGGGTAGAAAAGTTTTTGTCTTTAACATCTTGCGGTGCTTGGTTTGGAGTCTTCAGGGTACAGACTGCGCTGGGCGCGCCCTGGCTTGTCTTTTCCGCTTCAGCGCGCACATGCTCCCTCGAATGGTGTTCCGGCTACGCCCTTCGGTCACGAGCACGCGCTGAAGCGGAAAATCCTGCGCCAAGTTGCACTCTTGAGAAGAGTGCAACCCCCTGGTGAGAAATGCGGGCTACGTCATTGTGTCCTGACCGATCCCCGACTGACGGTGATCTTCAGGGATTTGAGCTTGCGGTGCAGGTGGCTGCGCTCGATGCCCAGCGTTTCGGCCGTGCGCGAAATGTTCCCCCGGTTCTCCTCCAGTTTCTTGAGGATATAGTCTCGATCGAAGGCCATGCGGGCTTCCGACAAGCTCCTGGTCTCAACCGGATCCTCCCCGGGGCCGTTGGTCTTGAGCAGTCCGGCCGGCAGGTGCCGGGCTTCAATCCTGCGTGCGGGCGTCATGATCACCAGCCGCTCGGCCAGGTTCTTCAGCTCGCGAACGTTGCCGGGCCAGGAATAGGCCGTCAACAAAGCCACCGCCTCCTCGCTCAGATCCTTGGGCGGCCGCCCGTAGTGACGGGAGAAGTCTCCGATGAAGAATTCCGCCAGCACCGGAATGTCCTCGGTACGCTCGCGCAGCGGTGGCACGTAGAAGGGGATGACGTTCAGCCGGTAGAAAAGGTCTTCGCGGAAGTTGCCCCGTTGCATTTCCTGGTCCAGATTCTTGTTGGTTGCCGCGATGACGCGAACATCCACCGATACCGTCGATTGGGCGCCCACGGGTTCGAAGCGTTGGGTTTCCAGTGCCCTGAGCACCTTGGATTGAGTCTTCAGGGTCATGTCTCCAACCTCATCCAGAAAGAGCGTGCCCCCGTCGGCCTTTTCCAGCTTTCCCACTTTGTTGGCGGTGGCACCCGTAAAGGCCCCTTTGACATGGCCGAACAGTTCGCTCTCGATCAACTCGTCGGGGATGGCGGCACAATTGACCTCCACGAAGGGTGCCGCATTTCGCAGGCTCTGGTGGTGCAGCGCATGAGCCACCAGTTCCTTTCCGGTGCCGCTCTCCCCGTAGATCAGCACCCGGCCATCGGTGGGGGCCGCGATGGCCAATTGCTGGCGCAGGGCCTTGATGGGAATGCTTTGGCCGATGATTTTGTAGTGTTCACCCAACCGGGACTTGAGCGTTCGATTTTCATCCTGCAGGCGCTTGTTCTCCAACCCGTTCTTGACCACCACCAGCGTCCTCTCGATGGACAGGGGTTTCTCGATGAAATCAAAGGCCCCCAGCCTGGTCGCCTTGACCGCCGTTTCAATGGTGGCGTGGCCCGAAATCATCACCACGGCCGCATCCACCTTCCTCTTCCTGATGGTCTCCAGGGTCTCCAACCCGTTGATGCCGGGCAGCCAGATGTCCAACAGAATCAGCTCGAAAATCTTCTTCTCCAGCAGGCGCAAACACTCTTCTCCGGTACGGGCCGTGGTCACCTTGAAGCCTTCCTCGCTCAGAACGGCGCCCAGGGACTTTCGAATCCCAGCCTCGTCATCCACCAGCAGTATGGAGTTTCTTGCCACTTCCTCACCTGGATCTCAAATGTGGCGATATCGGCCCGCCGCCGAGCCTGCATTTCTCACCGGGGGGTGTGACAATGGCGCCGGATATTTTCCCTCAGCGCGTGCTCGCGACCGAAGAGCGTAGCCGGCACTACGGTCGAGGGAGCATGCGCGCGCTGAGGGGAAAAGGACAAGCCAGTGCGCGCCCAGCGCAGTCTGTACCCGCATGCCCTCAAATAAGGGCCAACAAGGTATTGAAGATAAACGGTCTTTCATAATGTATCCAGCGGCCCGGTGAGAAATGCGGGCTATGCCTGATCCGACAGCCCGCCTCTTGAGGGAAGGCTCGGCCGAGCCTGCGGCCGCCCCCGGACCGGTTAGAGGGCCGGAAGCTCAATCACGAAACTGGCCCCCCGGGGGGAGTTGTCTTCGACGTGAATATACCCCTTGTGGTCGGCGACGATGCGATTGGCAATGGCCAACCCCAACCCCGTTCCCCTCTTGCGTGTCGAGAAATAGGGGAGAAACAGTTTGTCGCGGTCAGCGGCCGCAATGCCTTGCCCGTTGTCCCTGACGGCCAGTTGGATCGTCTCCCTGGAGGGAAAGAACCGGCTGGACAGGGAGAGTTGTTTGCGATCGGTTTGATCCATGGCCTCCAGCGCATTGTCGATCAGATTGACCAGCACCCGCTTGAGCTGTTCCGGATCCACCTGAGTCAGGGGGAGGTCGGGAGCCAGTTGCTTGACCACATCCACGCCGTCGAGGCGGCCGTCGCAGGAGGCCAGGGTGCTCTCGATGATGGCGTTGAGGTTGGAGGGCACCATGCTGGGCGAGGGCAATTGGGCGAATCGGGAGAATGCATCCACCATTCCCTTCAAGGTCTTGACTTCCTGGGTAATGGTGTGCACGCAATCCTTGACGGTGGCTTGAAAACCGGAAGAGGACGGGGAAGGGGTGCCGCCGCCGAGCCCCAGGGCCCGGGATCTGGACAGGTGCTTGAGGATTCGGTCAGCCGAAAGCTGAATCGGGGTCAGTGGATTCTTGATCTCGTGAGCCATGCGCCGAGCCACCTCTCGCCATGCGGTGGCTTTCTGGGCTCTGAGCAACTCGGTCAAGTCCTCCAGGACCATTACGAATCTTTGCGGTCCGGCATCCGCCGGATCCAGCGAGCTGAGGGTGACCGTGCCGTAGAAGGTCCCCGCTCGGGTCTTGAGTTCCAGCTCCTTGGAAGTGATTCTCACCCGGCCTGCCTTGGCGGTCAGGCTGCGAATTTCGGCCAGGTCTTCGGGTTGGAACAACTCCGCCAGGGTCAGACCGGTGTCGTCGGTCCGCCCCAGCATCTGCTGAGCAGCCTCGTTCATGGTGTTGATGGATGAGTCGGCGGCGATGGAGATGACCCCGGTGGGAATATTCTCCAGGACCGCCTCGGTGTAACGCCTCCTGGCTTCCGAGGCCCGGTGGGACGCTGCCATGTCCCGATTCTTTGCCGCCAGATCTCGAGCTGCCTCATGAAGCTGAGCGGTCATGCGATTGAAGGAGGACACCAGGATGCCCAGCTCGTCCGGGGCGGGGCTGTCGACCTGTACGCTCAAGTTGCCTTGCGACACTTCGTTGGAAGCTTCAGCCAGGGCCTGGATGGGCTCGGTGATCTTTCGCGACAGGAAGAGAGCGATCCAGACCGCCGGGAAGAGAACCAGCAAGGTGACCACCCCCAGCACCAGCATGAAGTTGGTCCGGATCATCTTGCGTTGCTCCTTCATCTGCTCGTAATCGCGACTGAGGCTGGACAACTTGCGGGCGAAGCTCACCATTTCCACAGGGGGAAGGGACCCGACAATCAAGCTTCCCGACTCATTTCGAGCCCCGGCCAACAGCAAGGGCTGCTCCTGCCGGTCCGTCGGGGGGCGCCCCTTCCAGGGGACGGTCCACACCGTGTCGATCAAGGCCTGGGAGAGATCCCGCCCTGCAGATTGCTTGACAACGGATTCCAGGGGGCGAACCATCTCCGCGAAGCGGGAATCGGCGGGGAGATAGGTCCGGCCGTCCCGGTAGGCCAACAGAGGGCCTCCGGACCGATCGAGGACGACCGCGAAATCAACCTCCAACTGGCGGGCGATGCGTTCCAGCTTCTGAATGCCGTCCGGACCGGGAGCGGTCCACAGGCTCTGGACGTCCGGGTGCCTGGCCAGGAATCGTGCGGTGAACACCGCTCGCTGAGAGGCATCCTTCTCCACCTGCCTGGCGATTTCGCCCACGCCCACGGGTTCGAAGGCCTGGTCCAAGGACGAGCTGAACCACTTGTCCAGGTTTCGGTTCACCACGGAATAGGCGAAGAAGGACATG